GGGGGGGGGGGGGGAGCTGCTTCCCTGCCGGAGGATGACTTGCATCCGAGGTAGGGGCCAACACCGCGACCGCCTGCGCGTCGCAGGTGGGGAATGTTGTCGAGCGGTTGGTGCGCACGGGCGCCATTGGCGGCGAGAGGGCAGAGAGCTGGACAGAAAGGTGTGCGACCACGCAGCACCAGCGACCTCTGTCTCCTCCATTCCAGGGCGCACTTTGTTCGCCCCCCGCAGGCTGCGTGCAGAAGCGCTGTGGGCAGAGAGAAGGCGCAAGGCGGAGGAGGGCGACGTGCGGGCGATGTTTTCATTCGTCGACTGCCTGATCTGCTCGGGGCAGTACTCCCAGGCCTACGAGTGGGCCAAGCGGATGGCGAGAGAAGGCGACCCCGAGGGGCTGATGTGGGCCGCCTTCATGCTCATCAGCCCCTGGATAAAAGAGGATAGAGAGCCCGCCGCGCCGGCAACCAGCGAGATGCTCATGCCGCGTGACATGATGTGGACGGTCTTCATGCTGCGCCACCCCTGGACCAGGGGTGGCGGCGTCCCCTCCAACCTCCCGCTCGGTATCTCGCTGCTGCGGACGGCGGCGAGCTCGGGCCACGTTTACGCAGCGCTCACGCTCGGCGTTTGGTGCAAGTACAAGGTGTTCCTTGGCGACGGCGCGCCACTGGTGCCGCCGTACGACCCACAGATCGGCAACCAGGCGCTGCACTGGCTCTCCAAGGCTGTTGAGTGTGGCACGTCGACCTGGAACGGGTACGTCGCGTCGGACGAGCTGCGTGAGCTGGTGGCGCACATGAAGGTTGCGGATCTGCGCGGCGAGCTCGACGTGAGACGGATCCCTTGGACGCGGGGCAGGGCGGCTAGATGCAACATCGCCGCGATGGCGTCGCATGAATCGTGCATACGTGCCGTCCGAGGTGGCTCATGAACGCCCATGTCCGCCGCAGGCATGCGCAAGCAGCTTCTCTCCGAGAGGTTGCTCGTCGCTTGCGGTGCGGGCCCACTTGGGCCTGGTGCGTCGTCCTCAACGGCAGTATGCGCCAACAGCCTCGCGCGTCTTGCTCGCAGGCGTGACGACCGACACTCGCATGCCGCGCTGCCTCCAGGGCCGTCCAACTTGCGAATGTATCCTTCTCGGTGCCCTCCGGCCACGCTCGCTGCGCAGACCCTGGATTTGAATGCAGGGCCGCGCGCGGAGGGCCGCGAATGACTCTGGCGCCAGCCGCAGCGCCGCACTCGGGCTGGCGTCTCCGGCTCACGCGTTCGTGCAAAACGACGACGTCCGCCTTATGGTGAAGTACGAGAGGGGGGAGGGGGAGAGGGAGAGAGAGGAGGGGAGGGAGGGAGGGAGAGAGAGGGAGGGAGAGAGGTGGTGGTGGAGGGAGGAGTCGTAGGGATGGTGGTAGGGAGCACGACATCTTGAGATCTTGTATAATGTATTTCAATATTTAGTATATTACCGTACGCTGCCGCAGTCTCGCGTCACGCGTGGTGGTGCATCATGGACGTACATGGACACGGCATTGTTTTCGATCGGCATTCAAAAAGTAAAGAAAGAGAATGGCGAGATCAACATGCCAATAATGCAATGAAGCGCCGAGCGCGCTACGTGAAGGCAGCAGCCTCTTGCTGCGGCCTCTGGTAGAAGCCTGCGTCGAGCAGCCCGATGAAGCCGGCCAGCGCGCCCCAGTGGTAGAAGCGCATCCCCGTGCACTCGGTGGCGTTGCGCCACGGCGAGAAGTTCTCGCACACGTGCCGGTGGGCGCGCCACTGCGTCAGGAAGAGCGCGCCCATCTGCTTGCACAGCGCCGCGCGCGCCGTCGTCACCAGCGGCACGTCCAAATACGCCTCGTGTGACAGGCCCCAGTACGTGAGCAGCGCCATCGGCCCCCAAACGTACCCGCGCCAGTAGCCGAGCGGCGGGAAGGCGGGGTCGTCGGCCGAAACTGACGGTAGGCCCCAGTAGCACGTGTCGTCGTTGCCCGCAAAGTCGCCCTTTGGCGTGATGCAGAAGCGGCTCGCGTTGAGCAGCCAGCCTCGCAGCATGCTCTCGGCTCTCCCCACGGTCGCGATTCCCGAGAGCATCGGGTAAAAGGAGGTGGGGGTGATGCGCCGCCGAAAGCGGCCCGTCGCGAGGCGGTTGACGAAGATGCCGCTCTGCTCATCCCACAGATGCGCCGCTATCTTTGCCCGGGCGTCGGCGGAGCGCGCACGCAGCACCTTGGCGGTGTCGGCGCGGCCAGCGGCGTCGGCGAGCTCGGCGAGGCACGCGTCGCTCATCGCCACCATGCTCGCCATCCCCACGTCGTACATCTGCATCAGCCCGTAGCCAGTCTTGTTGTCGGTAACCGCGAAGAAGTGCCCGTCGTACATCGGGCTGTCGTCAAGCCCGCTCTCGTAGCGCGCGGCCTGCATATCGTCTCCGCCCAGCGCGGTCATGTTGAGGGGCGGGAGGGTGCGCTCCTCGAGGAACCAGCCGGACCAGTCCAGCAGGTCGTCCAGGAGCAGCTCCACAAGCCACAGGTCGCGGTACCGTCTGTACATCTCGAGCAGCACCTTCGAGCCGACGGGCGGCTGCGAGTGCGTACTCTTTCGCGTGGGCGCGTAGCCGTTCGGCACGAACCCCTCCGCCGACTTGGCCTTCACCACCTGGATCAGGACGGAATAGCCGAGCTCCTTGCCCGCCGCGTCGAGGCTCAGCATGTATCCCGCAAAGTGCGTGTCCCAGTCGAAGAGCACGTACGGCCAGTCGTCGCTCAGCACGGCGGGGTCCCAGCCCCACGGGTTGCCGCGGATGACGGGGGCGATGACGCTCTCCAGCGGGTTGTTCCACATGGCGCCCGCCTGCACCGCCATCTTGACCTCCGCATGCTCGCCGTATGCGCCGTAGCGCGCCTGCTCCGCCTCCCACGCCGCGCGGAGCGTCGCCCGGATCCGAGCGGCTGGCAGCGGCGCTTTGGACGAGAAGCCGACGCTGCCAGAGTGGTCACCCGAAGTTACCCGAGATTGACCGAGTGTACCCGAGGAGACCGGAGATTGCCCGAGGTTGCCCGAGATTGCCCGAGGTCACCTGCCGCCGCCAGCGAGATCGAACCGCAAATGAGGCAGCGCCTAATGCATACATTAACAGACAACTGATTCATTCATTCATGAAGATGTCGAACCGCAAGTGCGGCAGCGCCTAGCGGTCGTAATGACAATGCCGAGAAGAAGAGCCGCCTTCCTGCCCAGACTGGCACAAGCGGCATGCGCCTCCACGCGCCGAGGCAGAAGCAGCGCGGAGCCTTTCGACGGCTGGGTGGCGTGGACGACGCTGCTGCGCAGCCCGTCGCCGATCGGCGTGAAACTGAGGGTCTGCGCCGCGGCGCTCACCTCGTGCACTCGATACCACGCCGACGAGCCGGCGAGCACCTGTTCACAGCAAGCGGTGTGAAGAGGCGCCGTTCACACCGCCCACGCCGCGCTGCGCGCGAGCGCCAGCTCCGTGCCGTCACAGCCAGCCACGACCTCACACAACGGCGAACAGCTCGTCATGAATGAGTGAGTAGTGATTATTCATGATTAACTATCATTCTATGGCCTCCACGACGGCGTAGTTAGTGATTAAATATTGGTCAATGATTAATGATTAATGATTATCGATGATTAATTATTATTATGACCTCCACAATAGCGAGCAGCTCGTCGCCGCCCCCGACCTTGGGCAAGGGGAAGGTGCGGTGAGGCAAAACTTCTCCACACACGCAAGGGGGGCGGGGCAAGGGCCAAGCTAGTCCCTTGCGACTCCACACCCCACAACAGACGGGAGCTGGCACGGCATTCAGAGTGCAAGGCCCGGTGCACACACACACAAACACGCCTCGATGCTGACGTTGCACGTTGCCGTGGCGAGGTACAGCTGGAGGTACGAGCGGTCGTACGCGTGAGCGCCTAGAGAGAGAACAACGCCCTGTCTTTCTTTTTTACAAGGGACGCCGACCCGGTCGTGCGCGTGAGCGCCTAGAAAGGCCCACGCGTGTTTCTTTTTTACAGGGAGACGCGTAACTCGGTCGTCGTACGCGTGAGCGCCGAGACGAATCGTCACGTCGCCCTGGCCTCCCGGACCCCAGTCGACCCTCGCCTCCTCGAGGCAGCGCGGCGCGTCCGCGCCGCTCGCGCCGCTGTCGCACAGCATCAGCGCGAGCGCGCTGCCCTCCGGCAAGCGGACGAGCTTGGTGTAGCTCATGTCGTACCACGGCGCCTACAAAGAAATACACCGCGGTAAAAGAAAAGCGATAGGCTCCTCTGGCCCACGTCGTCCCACGGCGCCTACAAAAAAGAAATACGGCTGGCGTAGAAAGAGAGCTATGACGCATCTCTGGCATGTCGTCCCACGGCGCCCAGCCCGACGAGAGCCTGGCCTGCATCGCATCGCGCTGCGCCTCCGCCTCTGGCAGCGCCTAGTGAAGAAATTATTAACTAGTTAATTAGCTAATTAAGAGTCGCGCTGTGCCTCCGCCTCTGGCAGCGCCTAGTTAAGAAATTATTAACTAGTTAATTAGCTAATTAAGAGTCGCGCTGCGCCTCCGCCTCTGGCAGCGCCTAGTTAAGAAATGGAAAGTTAACAAATTAACTAATTAAGAGTCGCGCTGTGCCTCCTCCTTTGGCAGCGCCGGGGACAGCGCGCCCTCGAGCCATGCCTCCTTCCTCAGCGTGCCCCCTCCGAGCCACGCCGCCCCCTTTCCGCCTCCCTCTCCACCACCGGCCGGCCGGCCGCCACGCTCCGGCGCCCTCGTGATGCGAACCCCGAAAGAGTCGGTCGGGCGGGAGGCTGAGCCGTGGTGCACGACCACGAGGCGGATCGGCCACGCGGTCGAGGAGAGCACCGGCAGCGGGTTGTCGTACTCCGTCGACCGGACGCTGGGCGGCGTCGGGCCGTGAGCGCCGTTGGTGCCTTTCTGGCAGACGAGGTGGCCGTCGACGTGGACGTAGCCTAGGACCGCGTGGCCAAAGAAGCAGCTAAAGTTGTAGAGGTAGTCACGCTCGACGGAGATCGTGCCGGTGAGCGTGGCGCTGAAGGGCCGCCGTGAGTCGTGTGTCACGTTGGGCAAAGCGACGGTTTCGGACCTCAGGATCGTTCCTGCGACGGCCGTGCTGTTGAACAAAGTGAGTGCGAGCCCACGCTGCGGCGGCTGCCAAGCGAGGCTGATTGGGAGGATGAGCGGCAGGCAAGGCCAACGGGCGACACGTCGGCGCTGCATGCACACAACGTCGAAAGGCTGGGTTCAGCTCCAAGGGAGGTAGGGGAGCGGACGCATCCTTTGCGCTGCTGCTGGTAAATAAATAAATAAAACGGACACCTCTCCGTGAGATAGGTAAAAGGGAACAGGTCCCTACGAGCCGCGCCTACGAGTAAGCTATCCGTTACTAGATAAGCTATCCGTGCGCCTTAGACAAGCTAGCTAATCTTGCGTAACATTGGTAGACATTGCGTAAAAAAAAATGCGAGAGCTGCTCACGCAACGACCCGCAACGAGTCTGCGCAACCAATGATGTTACAACTAACGCAAACGTGTTCGCGGAGGACGGCTTCCACTCTAGCTTTAACCTGGCCTTGAGGATGGCTTGGTTAGCCTGGACTCGTCGATGTGCGGTCTGTGTTTTACTCACTTACGAACCCAGGTGCGCCTGCAAGGTTCGTGACGTAAGAGGCGTGGTAATCACATGAATAAAGATCATGGGAGAGGTCCTCAGCCACCAGAGGTCCTCACGGGAGAGGTCCTCAGGGGGAGAGGTCCTCAGGGGGGAGAGGTCCTCAGCGGGAGAGGTCCTCAGGAACACTGCTCACTCGCATAGCCGCCGTCCTGCCACTCAAAATTAGCGCCCTCAACGCACCGTCCAGGCCTGACCAATTCACAGGGCCTCTCCCTCCCATGCACACACACACACACACACACACACACACACACACACACACACACACACACCACCCTTGGGGGGGGGGGGGGGCGCCTACGGCTGGGCCGCACGACGGCAAGAACCCAAGGGTGAAGGCCAGAAGGGCGCCGATTAGGCGCCACAAAAACCTAGCAACAGTATAAACGCAGAGCGTGGAGCCGGATCCTCGGCGCTCGGTCACATGGTCTCGGCGGCTCGCCGCAACGCCGCGGAAGCCTTCGCCGCAGACACTTGGGCTCGGCGGCTCGCCGCAACGCCACGGAAGCCTTTGCCTGACCGCGAGCCTGCCCGGCTCTGGGCGGCCGTGCGTGAGGAGGTCGTCGCCAGCACGCCTTTGCAGCCGCTGGTCCCCGACGTCTATGCCCAAAATGGACTCTTCGACCAGCTTGACGACCTGGTGAATCGAACTAACGAGCGCATCCTGGCGATCAAGTTGAGAGAGCAGGAGGCTGCGGGCTTCCAGTACATCCACTTCACAAGAGAGCGCCTGAAGCCGATGCTGGTGGCAAAGGAGATGAGGTTCCACGGGATCGCGGCGCACCCGCCGCAGGTGGCGTTCTACCAGCAGCTGGCCCGCCGTGCTGGCATACGGACCGTGTGTGAGATCGGCTTCAACGCAGGCCATTCCGCCGCCGTGTGGCTGACCGCCAGCCCAACCTTGCACGTGTACTCGTTCGACCTCATGGATACTTCGATGGGCCTTGCGGCGGTCGACTACTTGCAGCGCCGATTCGCCGGCCGGCTGACCGCCTTTGGAGGTGACTCGTTGGTCGAGGTGAAGAAGGCCAGGCTGCCTCCGTGCGACCTGATCCACGTGGACGGCAAACACGATTACGAGCACGTTATCCAGGACACGCTGAACATGCGACGGCACGCGGCGCCAGCTGCCATCTTCCTGTTCGACGACGTCTGCGACACGAAAGATTGCTCACTGACGAAAAATATCTACGCGGGCGGCCCGGCGTTGGCTGTCTGCGATCTGGTCGGCAGTGGCCTGCTCCGTGGGCCCATCGAGGCGAAGTTCGAAGACAAGAGCCGTCAGTGGGCGACCTACGAAGCGGGCAGCTCGGCCTTGCCGCCTCGCGGGCTGCCAGCGGGCGAGCGCTGCAACATGACGTGGCGGAGCTCGAGCTCGCAGAGGGCTTGGGCGGAGGGTGGGATGGCGCGCAAGATACAGTCTCAGCAGTTGCACGTCGGGCGCATGAGTCTTCGCCGCTCGGGACCGTGATGTCTCATCGTGTCTCATGTTAGTCATAGACATGGGCCGTGCCGGTCGGCATCTCGGTCGGCGCGAACTAAACTAGGCGCGAACGCGGCAATAGTCTCAAACATGGGTCCCCAGCCTCTTTTGATGTGGAGAATCGAAAGAATCGTTACAGACTCAGATCATCAGCTACGAGAAGGCGAGCACTCACTTCTTATGCGCGCGGAATGCGACCGTTATGATCTCGGCTCTGAGGGTGATGGATTGTCCCGGACGAATTTCGCAAGGCGATACTTTCATACAATTTCCTTCAGTTTTCCTTCCCCTTGCATCCACCCTTGGACCGACCTGCGTGTGTGCAGTCAGTCAGTTGCTCTTACTCACAGCTCTGGTCTTAACTGGTCAGTCAGACAGACAATGTGCGCAAGACCAGACGGTGTAGCTGAGCTCCCTCGGAGACCGAGGGCGGCGCCCGACGGCGCGGTGGCGCGGTGGGCTGCGAGTGCGCGATGTCTACGTCTTGCTCCATGTTATTGGCAATAAGATACGAAGGGACGAACGAACACGCGGGAACAATTAATTAACTAATCAGGATATTACGCGGGGCGAGGTGTGAACGGTCTACCCGAGGTGAGGGTAGGCGCACAATGAAGTCCACCTTCACCTCTCCGACTAACTAGAGTATACAGCGCGCTGGATTGGTGGCGGCGACTCTTGCTTCGCGCCCCCACGGTCACAGCTCACATGCTCACTCGAGGGAGAAACACCGACGAAAACCAAAGATAGGCATACGATCAATCTTACTTCTGCAAGCAGGTAGGTTCGTTCCTCTTGTCTCTCCGTCTAGCCCTAGCACTTGCACTGTTGTTGTTGCTGGCTGCTGGTGCTGCTGATACCCCCCCGGTCCACACGGTACACGGCATCAACACACTTGGTGAGTCACACATGTGCACATGCAACATGCATGTGTGCAACATGCACCTGTGTTCACCAACAACATGTGCATGCACATATGCATGTGCATGTGCATGCGTCTCCCTTTCCGGCTTTAGAGGCGGTCACATCCGCGCGTCGCCCTCGTACACGCCCGGCTCCTCCAGCGCAAGCAGCTCGCCCAACCCGACCGCACCGCCGTGCACGAGCGCCCAGCCGCGCCGGTCGGGATCGACGGCGACCGGCCGGCGCGAGCGCACCTACAAGCAGAAGAAAAAAAACTGCGGAAAAAGTACAGGACGGCGGGCCGGCGCGAGCGCACCTAAAAGCAGGAGACACAACTGCGGGAAAAGCAGTACAGGACGGACGGGCCGGCGCGCGCTAGCGCACCTAAAGACAGAAACAAAGCGTGTAGAAAAAAGAAATGCGTGACTCGGACGGCCGGCGCGAGCGCACCTAAAGACAGAAACAAAACATCTGCAGTAAGAAAAAGAAACACTGCACGCCGACAGGATGGCGCGGGCGCGCCCACAGCCCCTCGTGTGTGGCGAGGGTGGCGTCGGCCTCGATGAGGGTGCCCGTAGGACCAATCGAGAGGATGGCCGCGCTCGTGGCGGGCGCCTAAAAAGAAGAAAAACATCGTGAAAAATGAACACAAGCAAGGGGATGGCCGCCGATCGTGGCGGGCGCCTAATAAAAAAAAGAAAATGTGTGCAAAAAAGAAATGCGCTCGTCCGGGTGGCCGGATTCGTGGCGGGCGCCGCGCGCAAGTAGACCATCGGCTTGAAGGTCACGCGGTACCTGGGCAGTTCCGAGAAAGTTCCACGCGGTTCGGGAGAAAGTTTCGAGAAGGTTCCGTGCATGTCGCTATCTCCCCAAATCTCCCCAAGCCTTCCCGTATCTCCCCATATCTCCCACATCTCCCCCGTACCTCGCAGGGGAGACGAGCCGCCGCGCGCCGCACCGCACCGCCGCCTCGTCCGCCTCGGCGTGCGACCGCAGCTGCGGCTTGAGGTCTTGCAGCGACACCTGTCTCTCGCGCAACCTCGCGTCATCTCGCGTCATCTCGGGCAATCTCGCGTCATCTCGGGTCATCTCGGGTCATGTTGGGTCCTCTCGGCTCTCTCGGCTCATCTCGGCGCATCTCGGGCCATCTCGAGTCATCGGATCATCTCAGCTTGAGGCTTGGTAGCGACGTTCGCCGAGATGCGCCGAGATGCGCCGAGATACCCCGAGATGCCCCGAGATACCCCGAGATGCCCCGAGATGCCCCGAGATACCCCGAGATCGCGGCACCTCGACCAAGGAGACGCCGTTGGCCGCGGCGGCGCCCGCCGTTGCCTCGCCGCCCCCCTCATCGCGGGCACGGCCGGCGCCGCGGACGCGCTCCGCTAGAAGGCGCGCCAGCCCTCCCTCGCAGCCGGCTGCAAAAGCAAGCGCCGCCGCGCGCCCCACCGAAGACATGCGGCGGAGGTATGCGCCGTCGTCGAGCAGCCGGCGCAGTCGCGAGGCGAAGGGAGCCGCCTCCTCCGCCGTCGCCACCTGCGGCACCGCGGCCGCGAGCGCCTTCGCTCGCTCCCGCGCGTCGGGAAGCGGCGGGTCGGCGCCTAGTCTCGCGTGATCTCGCGTGATCTCGGGTGATATCGGCGAATCTCGCGTCGGGCAGCGGCGGGTCGGCGCCAAGCCGCTGCTCGAGCTGAGCGTTCGAAGCGCCGCGCACGAGCGAGCCTCGGGCGTGGTAAGGGGAGGTCAGGTCCACGTCTCCACACACACACACACAGTGGCGGGGCCTCGTGCCCCGGGCATGGTCGAAGGAGAGCGAGGCTGGCGCGACGAGCTCGGCGTTGAGGTTTGCCTGGGCACTCATCAACACCAATTCATGCTAACACTCAGTAACTAACGACGAGCTCGGCGTTGTGGCTCGCCTCGGGCAAGCCGCCCACGTCCGACGAGACGCAGGGGATGCCTGCTCACGGCTCGCGCTGTGAAGAGACGCCGTTCACACCCCTCCGCCCACGTCCGACGAGACGCAGGGGATGCCTGCTCACGGCTCGCGCTGTGAAGAGACGCCGTTCACACCCCTCCGCCCACGTCCGACGAGACGCAGGGGATGCCTGCTCACGGCTCGCGCTGTGAAGAGACGCCGTTCACACCCCTCCGCCCACGTCCGACGAGACGCAGGGGATGCCTGCTCACGGCTCGCGCGGTGAAGAGACGCCGTTCACACCCCTCCGCCCACGTCCGACGAGACGCAGGGGATGCCTGCTCACGGCTCGCGCGGTGAAGAGACGCCGTTCACACCCCTCCGCCCACGTCCGACGAGACGCAGGGGATGCCTGCTCACGGCTCGCGCGGTGAAGAGACGCCGTTCACACCCCTCCGCCCACGTCCGACGAGACGCAGGGGATGCCTGCTCACGGCTCGCGCTGTGAAGAGACGCCGTTCACACCCCTCCGCCCACGTCCGACGAGACGCAGGGGATGCCTGCTCACGGCTCGCGCTGTGAAGAGACGCCGTTCACACCCCTCCGCCCACGTCCGACGAGACGCAGGGGATGCCTGCTCACGGCTCGCGCTGTGAAGAGACGCCGTTCACACCCCTCCGCCCACGTCCGACGAGACGCAGGGGATGCCTGCTCACGGCTCGCGCTGTGAAGAGACGCCGTTCACACCCCTCCGCCCACGTCCGACGAGACGCAGGGGATGCCTGCTCACGGCTCGCGCTGTGAAGAGACGCCGTTCACACCCCTCCGCCCACGTCCGACGAGAAGGGGATGCCGCGCAGCAGCGCCTCCATCACAATGAGCGAGATTACCCCGAGATTACCCGAGATCACAACGAGGCGCCGCGCAGCAGCGCCTCCATCACAACGAGCGGGCAGCACTCCTGCCAGAGAGACGGAGCGAGCAGGACGCGCGTCCGCCTAATCTCGGAGAATCTCGGGTAATCTCGGGCGACTCTCGGGTGATCTCGCGAGCAGGACGCGCGTCCGCCGAAAGATGACGTCGACGTCGTCGTCGGGCGGGAGTAGCGCGATGTTCGGAGCGGACTCGAGCTGCGCAGGGCGGGGAGGAGAGTCTCGGAGGTGTGTCGGAGGTGTGTCGGAGGTGTGTCGGAGGTGTGTCGGAGGTGTCTCGGAGGTGTGTCGGAGGTGTGTCGGAGGTGTCTCGGAGGTGTGTCGGAGGTGTCTCGGAGGTGTGTCGGAGGTGTGTCGGAGGAGAGTCGGAGGTGTGTCGGAGGTGTCTCGGAGGTGTCTCGGAGGTGTGTCGGAGGTGTGTCGGAGGTGTGTCGGAGGTGTCTCGGAGGTGCCTCGGAGGTGTCTCGGAGGTGTGTCGGAGGTGTCTCACCAGCTCACGCGAGGCGGGGTCTGTCCAGCCCGTCGCCTGTTGATTACCATGATGCCTCAGCTTGATGACAACTAACGGGCTTGGCCTTGGCCCGTCCATCCCGTCGCCACGGCGGCGAAGGCCACCCGCGGCATCGCCTACTCAATCCCTCCCCAGACTACTCTCCCGATATGAATTGAACTCATCCAGGCCACCCGGCGGCATCGCCCTTGCGAGAGCGAGCAGCAGCGACAGCCCCTTCGCTGGGCAGGGGCTCACGAGGGTCACGTACACATGCGCCGCCTAGAGGTGGGTTCGGCTTCCATAGGGAGGTAGGGGAGGGGCGGACGAGGGTCACGTACACATGCGCCGCCTAGAGGTGGGTTCGGCTTCCATAGGGAGGTAGGGGAGGGGCGGACGAGGGTCACGTACACATGCGCCGCCTCCCACGGGCGCATCGCTTCGGGCAAGGAGGGCGCCCCCGCCGCCCCCTCCGCCGCCGCCCCTTTCGCCGCCGCCGCCGCCGGGTCGGCGGGCAGCCCGGAGTGGAAGTAGTGGTAGTCGGCTGCCTAGGAAGTGTCTAGGAAGTGTCTAGGAAGTGTCCAGGAAGTGTCTAGGAAGTGTCTGGGAAGTGTCTAGGAAGTGTCTCGGAAGTTCCAGGAAGTGTCTCGGAGGTGTCCACGGAAGTGTCTAGGAAGTAGTGGTACTTGGCTGCCCAGAGCGGGCGTGTGCAGAGGCGTGGCTGCTGCGGCCCCCAGCGGCGGAGGTATGCGCAGTGGTGCTCGCACGGCGAAAGGATGCAGTCGACGCGCCGCAGCAGCTCCGCGTGCCCGTCGGCGGGCGGGTGCCTAAAAAAGAGAAAAACAGCTGCAAAAGAAATATGCGTGGGCAGTGGCCCTGAAAGGGCGGCTGCCTCTTGAACGGCCCAAAGGGCGGCAGGTAGTAGTTGTGGCCTACGCTGACGTCAGTGACGCCTCACACCTCATCTCCTTGCATTCCACCTCGGATCAGGTCGTCGTGGCCCATCGCGTACAGCGCGTCCGACTGCAAGCAAACGGCAAGCTGCAGCAGCGGCGCCTCGAGGCAAGAGGGGAGAGCACCACGTCACATCTCGGGTGAGCTCGGCTGCCTCTCGGCGTCAATTCTCTGCCTCTCGGCTGCCTCTCGGCGCTGCATCTCGGCTGCCTCTCGGCTGCACCTCGGCTGCACCTCGGCTATATCTCGACTGCACCTCGGCTGCATCTCGGCTGTATCTCGGCTGCACCTCGGCTGCATCTCGGCTGCACCTCGGCTGCACCTCGGCTATATCTCGGCTGCACCTCGGCTGCACCTCGGCTATCTCTCGGCTGCACCTCGGCTGCCTCTCGGCTGCCTCTCGGCTGCCCCTCGACTGCCTCTCGGCTGCCTCTCGGCTGCCTCTCGGCTGCCTCTCGGCTGCCTCTCGGCTGCCTCCCGGCTGCCCCTCGGCTGCCCCTCGGCTGCCCCTCGGCTGCCCCTCGGCTGCCTCTCGGCTGCCTCTCGGCTGCCTCTCGGCTGCCTCTCGGCTGCCTCTCGGCTGCCTCTCGGCTATCTCTCGGCTGCCCCTCGGCTGCCTCTCGGCTGCCTCTCGGCTGCCTCTCGGCTGCCTCTCGGCTCCTCTCGGCTGCCTCTCGGCTGCCTCTCGGCTGCCCCTCGACTGCCTCTCGGCTGCCGCTCGGCTGCCCCTCGGCTGCCTCTCGGCTGCCTCTCGGCTATCTCTCGGCGAGCTGCAGCAGCGGCACCTCGAGGGAGAGGGAGAGCACCGCGTTGGGGTAGGGGTAGGGGTTCGGGTACCGTGGGGGTAGGGGATGGGTACGCACCTCGAGGGAGAGGGAGAGCACCGCGTTGGGGTAGGGGTAGGGGTTCGGGTACCGTGGGGGTAGGGGATGGGTACGCACCTCGAGGGAGAGGGAGAGCACCACATCGTACGAGCGGCGCCGCGTCGCCTACAGGTGGGTTCGGCTCCATAGGGGAGGGGTCCTGCTCCGGCGTGCCGTCAACTCCTGTCCCGCGTCCACCCAGACCGCGCATGTGTCCAGTCCGAGCCCCTGTTCTCCTCTCTATCTACTGCAGCGAGCTCTAGGGCCCAAGGAAGAGCGCGTAGCAAGCAGCCAGCCGACTCGACGACAGCCTCCGTCTGGGTCTCTCTTTGAATGCTTGTCTGCGGCTTGCCATCTATTTCGCACAGCCTGCACGAGCGCCGCCTCTGCGCCAATCAGCACGTCGTGGCCTTCCCACCTGTGCCGTGTACAGGTGGGTTCGGGTACCGTGGGGGTAGGGGATGGGTGCCGTGGGGGAGGGCCTTCCCACCTGCGCCGCGTACAGGCGGATTCGGGTACCGTGGGGGTAGGGGATGGGTGACGTGGGGGAGGGCCTTCCCACCTGTGCCGCGCACAAGTGGGTTCGGCTCCATAGTGAGGCAGGCGATGGGTTTGGGTACCGTGGGGGTAGGGGATCGGTGCAGTACCGTGGGGGTAGGAGATGGGTTCGGGTACCGTGGGGTAGGGGAGGGCCTTCCCACCTGTGCCGCGCAACGAGCGGCCGCCGCGCCGCCGCGCCGCCGCCTCCTCCACCTCCGCCGCCTCCTCCACCTCCGCCGCCTCCGCCGCCGCCTCCGCCGCCGCCGCCGCCTCCATCTCCGCCACCGCCGCCGCCGCCGCCGCCTGCAGCTCCGGCGGCAACTCCGAGCGCGTAGACGAGGCCCTCTGGCAGCGGCTTAGGAGTGAGCGCCAACACGTCGACAGAGCCGCCGCCGCAGAGCCGCAATGCCTCGCGGATGAGGGCCAGGCTGGCGCGGGTTGCGCCACCATACGAGTCGCCCGCAAAGTAGCCGCTGTGGCCAACGACCGCGACTCGCAGGTGCCGGAGCGAGCCGGCTGGCGGAAGGCCGCCGCCGCCGGCTGGCGGAGCGAGGGACGCTGTCCCGGTCGACGCCGACGCGGCGGCGGCGGGCCCGTGCACCGCGTGCTGGAGGGCGGCGGCGTCCTCCTCCGAGATGCCGAGCTCTGCGAGGGCAGAGGAGAGATCGGAGATCATCCGCAGCAGCGGAAGCGTCAGCGCCTCCTCGTCGAGCGTCGGCTGCAGGTGAGCGAGGCCGCGGCTCGCGAGGAGCGAGGAGAGATCGCGCATGGTGAGAAGATAAGGGATGCGGGATTTTTTTGCGTTGAGGCCGTTGATCCGCAGTGAGGGTTGACTCGGCCCAGCGAGCCGTCTTATCGTTACCAGGTTGCAACTCTTGTTCCGCACTGTGCTGTGAATCGAGCGGCAACCAGCAGCTCTCAGGACCCCCCGGTGCTGGGGTGCTGCCAGCAACCAACCAACTCATGCGGGGGGCGGAGCGAGCCGAAGAGCGGGCCAAATTGGCGCTGTGAACGCACCTACGTGGCGGGCCGCGCAGGCCCGGCAGCAGGGCACCCCCGCGCGGATGCCGACGAGGATCACGGTGCGCTACCCGAACGAAGGTGGACTGCTGACAGGGTTTGCGGTGTCAGTTAGTGTATGTAAAAAATTCTTAGAAATTTGCCCCCCCCCCCCCCCCCGAGAACGGGGCTAGAAGCACACACCCCGAGTGCGGGACATGGGGCAGCAACCGACAACGTGGACGGGGATGGGGTGCTGCTCAACCGGCGGCAACCAGCAGCTTTCACAGCCGAGTGCGGAACAAGGGTTGCAACCTGGTAATAAGACGGCTCGCAGGCAAGCAGTCAGAATCGAACTGCTTCGGCAGAAAGAAAGAAAAAGTCCTTCGCTTTTTTGTCTTCGAGCTACTTTCTTCTGCCAGCGCTTTGCTCCGACCTGTGGCAGCTGGCAGGAGCGGAAGCAGCCCCGAAAAACGATGCTACCCCCACTGCTGCTGCTCACAGCGTCCGCAGCGACCGGCTCCACTCCCTCGTTGCGCCGGCTCATCTCGCGGCGGCCACTCCTCTCGGCCGGCGCTGCGGCGGCGCTGGGCTGGTCTATCAACGCAGGCCGGCCGCGGGTCTACGCGACCGTGGCCGACATCCCCGACGATGAGTTCCGACGCCACGCCACGCTCCGTTGTCGCGTCGTCAAGGTCTCGGACGGCGACACACTGCGGTGCGAGCACGAGCCGCTCTGGAGCGCTCTGATCCCGAGCGCCGGCGGCCCGAAGAAGGGCAAGCTCTCTGCTCGAAGCCTGTCCGTGCGGCTGTACGCGATCGACGCGCCCGAGACGGCCAAGGCCGGGCGGCCCGGGCAGCCGCTCGGAGGGGCAGCCACCGCCTTTGTGTCGGCGGCCGTGCTCGGCAAGCTTGTGCAGGTCTCGGGACACTTCCGAGACACTTCCTAGACACTTCCCAGACACTTCCTAGACACTTCCAAGCTTGTGCAGGTCGAGCTAGCGGCAGGTAGGTAGGTAAGGGCGTCTTCCCCCTTGACGCCCTCATGGTAGGTAGGTCGTTTCTCCACACTCACACACACGGTGGTGGCGCAAGGGCCAGGCAACCCTCTTCCAATTTCACCCAGAGAGGCAGCAGCCCCACGGCGCAGTCAACGTGCAGGCCCCCCCCCGGGCAAACTCTGGGTGAGAGCAACCTTTTACCTCCCTCCCGGACAACCCAACTCGCGCGCAGGTCAAGCTGCTGTCGCGCGACCAGTACGGCCGTGCGGTGGGGGTGGTCTCGGTGGGCGCGCTCGGGCGGCGAGATCTCTCGGAGGCGCTAAGTAAACACACGTAGTAGAACGGGCACCTCCCGGAGGTTGGGAAATGAATAAAGTAAATGAATAAAACGGGCACCTCTACTAGGAGATTGGTAAATAAATAAATAACACGGACACCTCTACTAGGAGATACATAAATAAATGAATACAAACGGGCACCTCTACTAGGAGATTGGTAACTAGGAGCAGGAGAGCCCGCCCCGGTGCGGTCCTTGTGCAGGGTTCTTTGTGTGGGGTGGACCGCCGCCCTCGCCCCCGCCGCCCTCGCCGCCGCCCCCCTCGCCTCCGCTTTCCCCGCCACCGCCCTCGCCGCCGCCGCCCTCCGCGCCGCCGCCGTCGCCGCCTCCGTCGAGCCCGCTTCCCTCGCCGCCGCCGCCCTCGCCGCCGCCGCCCTCGCCGCCTCCTCGGAGCCCACCCCCGCCGTCGCCGGTGTTTGTCCCGTCCCGACGGGGCAGTAGCACTAGCCGTCGCCGACGCTGTCCCTTGGGTCCCTGCTGCCCCTAACCGATCTTCGTACATCGTCCTAGGCGCTGCTGTCGCAGGGGCTCGCCTTTGTCTACCGCGGCGGCGGCGCGCAGTACGACGGAGACCGCGCGAGGTGGGACCGGCTCGAGGCGGCCGCCAGGCGCCAGAGGCGGGGCGTGTGGGCGACGGGCGGCGCGGTGGAGACGCCGGCCGAGTACAAGCGGCGAGGGAGGGCGCGGGTGTGAGCGATGCGGGTTCCTCCCCGTTCTAGTGTTCTCTTTCTCTGTGTGTAAAGGGGGTGGTCCGCCCCCGTATTACTAACCACGTGAGTAATTTCACGACCTGCCGTTGGTTCGCGCGCCGTCGTGATTTCTCGAGAGTCGTCAGGAGTGTGTGCGACTCTTCCTCGCCGCCGTCCCCCCACCCCCGTCCGCGCGTGACGCGCGAGATGCACATCGCTAGAGTAATCGGACCTGGGGGCAAATTAGGAGTTCTCCCCGCCGATCCCAGAGCCCTGTTCTTCCCTCGCACCAGCCGCGCCGCTCTCACCCCGCCACCTCGAACCGATTCCTTCGGGCGCGGCGCCGGTCGGCGGCCGAGAGACCAGCGCAGTCGCCGGCCGGCCCGGCCTGCTCCAGGAGCGCCAACGTGTTTGCGATCGCCTCTGCCGACTCGGCCGGAGGGACTGTGTTTCCCAGCGACGGCCGCCGGTTGAGCGGGCTGGGCTGCGATGGCCCGGACGGGCTGAGGCGGCTGGTGCCGTCTGGGGATGCCCGGGCCGCCCTCATCCCGACGGGCGACGGCTCGTCGAGCTCAAAGTCCGAGTCGGTGGGCCCGCCCCCCTCCGCCGGGTCCCCCGGCGCCTCCTCTCCCGCCCCATCCAACGCCGCCGCGTCGGGCAATCCACCATCGGGCGGCAGCGCAATGTCCTCGCACGACGGGCGCGTGGCGACCCGCAGGGCCGGCTTGGGGAGGGCGGCATCGCCCCGATCACCGCCGAGGGGGGAACGCTCGATCGTGTCTGGCGTGAGGGCGGCACTCCCCTGGTCCGGGTCGAGGATGGTGTCGCCCGAGCGGCTTCGAGAGCGGCCCTTGAAGGTGCCGAGCCTGCCGCGCATGCTCCCTCGCCAGCGCTTGAGCTCCTCTATCGCCGCGGCCCGCTGCAGCTCGGCGGCCGACCCGGCGCCAGCCTCCTCACCTATCGAGCGTTGCTCAGGCCCACCGCCGCTTTCGGTGTCACCCGCCTCGCCGATGGGCAGCACCTGCTCCAGTCGCGTCGGAGGCGCCGCCGGGGCCGGGCCGGGCTGCGGCTGCTGCTCCGAGGCGGAGCGTCGCCGCCCAAAACCGGGCAGGCCAATCCGGCGGCTCGGCGCGGCGGCGGCGGGAGGAGACTTGCTGTCGATTGCGGCGGCCGCCGCGGCGGCGGCGAGGCGGGAGGAGACTTGCTGCGCGAGCGCCGCGGTCGCCGAGTGCTCGGCCGCAGCGAGCGAGCCAAGGGCCTGCTGCAGCCGCTTGGCCATCGGCGTGCCGCAGACGAACGCGAGGCACTCCTCCTGGCGGGTGATGGCGGCGATGGCGGCGAGCGCGTGGTGGACTGAGGTGGCGTCCGACTGGAATAGCATGCGCTGCAGCAGCATCCACAGCCGCTGGTCCTTGAGCTCCTCGGGCCCGATGAACCGCACGAGGCTGGCGAGACACGTGAGGAGGGGGACGCGGCGCTGCGCATTGGACTCGCCCGCCTCGTTCATCAGCGCGACGAGAAGGAGCGGGGCGTCGTGGCCCGAGCACACCCTGCGCGCGCCGACATCGCCCTCGTCGATGTCCGCCAGCACCTTGGCGAGCTCCTGCGCGCTCCGGAAGCGCTGCGCCAAGGTGGTTGTGTTGGTGTCGATCGTGGTGATGGACACCGAGATGGCGCGCAAGGCGGTGACGTTTGCGACGGATCGTGGCGCGCCACGAGCCTGCGCGCCTGGATCGGACTCCATATCGGCGGGGAGCACCCACGGTCGCGGTCTTGAGAGGAGAGGAACAGCCAGCCGACAGTCGCGGGGCGCCGGGTTTGGTGGAGGAGAGTGGAGATGCAACGCGCAACTTCTGGGCTGAAACCTCGAAACCTCGTCGAGGTCTCGACGGCCGTCCACACCGTCCGGGCGGGCACCGTGCATCCGGCGAACTGCCGGCGAAGCGACTCGAGACCCGCAGCCATGGTGGACTACCGAAAGACGGACAAGCTTGACGAGCTCTTCGCATCGAGACGATCGAGCCAGACTTCGTCCCGCCGAAGCCAGATATCTGTCCATGAGGTCGTCCCTCCGGTTCGAGTGATCCCGGCTCCCGAGAACCTGCCCGAAGGTCTGCACGCATGAACCCGTGTGTGTGTGTGTGACTCACACATACTTACTCACTCACGCACACGCATGAACCCTACTACCACACCGCGGTCTTTCACACGCCGCCCTACACAGGCTTCCGGTCCAAGTACCCTCCCATCGAGGCCAACGAGACCGGCTTCATGAAGCCTCTCGACAGCGACATCCACACGATTTATTGGGAGGAGTCGGGCAACCCTCAGGGCAAGCCGGTCGTCGTCCTGCACGGCGGACCGGGCGGAGGCTGCCCTCCCTCCTACCGCCAGTATTTCGACGCGCAGCGCTACCGCATAATCATGTTTGACCAGCGTGGCGCCGGCAAGAGCACGCCGCTGGCGGAGCTGCGCGAGAATACGACCTGGCACCTGATTCGCGACATGGAGCAGCTACGAGAACAGCTGAATGTGGAGAAGTGGGTCGTCTTTGGCGGCTCCTGGGGGTCGACGCTCTCACTCGCCTACGCAGAGACGCACCCCGACCATGTCACAGCGCTGGTGCTCCGGGGCATCTTCCTGTGCCGGTGCGTATGCTCCCCCCTGGAACATATGCTACGGCTTGAGTATATGCACCTCCGCCTCCTGCCTCCGCCCCGCTCGCCCGCCTGCCCCGCTCTCACCGCCCGTGCCTCCTGCGCCCGCAGCTACCAAGAGATCCAGTTCATGTACCAGGCGCCAGAGTGGGAGCCTCGTTCACGGGCGCCAGCGTATGTGCGCGTCCAACACGTTTCGGCCTCGCCGGTAGGAGGGCACCAGTTGGATCTTCCCGTACGCGCACGAAAAGTTTGCACAACACATCCCCGCCGTCGAGCGAGGCGACCTCGTGAGCGCCTACCACCGGCGAGTCACATGCGACGACCCCGAGACGCGCCTCGCCGCCTCGATGGAGTGGACCGGCTGGGAGATGTGGGTGTCAAACCTGATCGTGGACGAGAAGAAGGTGGAGGAGGGGGAGGACCCCGACTTTGCAGAGTCGTTTGCGCGCATCGAGACGCACTATTTCACTCACTGCGGCTTCTTTCACAAGGAGAACCAGCTTATTGAGGACGTTGACAAGATCCGCGACATCCCCGCCACCATTGTGCAGGGGCGGTACGACGTCGTCTGCCCGATCAAGTCGTGCTGGGAGCTGCACACGGCCTGCGCGCAGCCCGCGCTCTCACGCTTCCGGACGGCGTTCGCGAGGTTGCAAACGCCACCGTAGGCCTGGCCGGAGGCGGACCTCAAGATTGTCAGCGACTCGGGGCACAGCATGAGCGAGGCGGGCATCACGAGCGAGCTTATCAAGGCCGAGCCTCCTTCCTTCCCACCCCTGTGCTCACGCGCCACAGCCCAGTGCTCACGCGGAGCATCGGCCTTGGAGCTCACAGGCGACAGACATGTACTCCGAACTTTGATCCAGCACCTGGAGGACCTCTGACGCACGACGCAGCGCCGGGCGCGGCGTCAACACGAACACACGAGACACGTCTCTCGGACGCCACGTTTCGTCCGTGTAGAGCATCGTTCTTGATCTCTTCCCACCAAGTCTGTAAACTAAGGTCCGACCCTCTAAATGTTCGTCGCCGGGCACAGCGGTCAGCGCTGCTCGCACGCGCTGCAACCTGCGCAAAGCTGCGACCAAGTTTACACAACCAATCTCCAATCTCTCGCACAACACTGGGCACGGGACTGGCACGCACTGGCATTATCACACGCGATGCACAAGAAAACAACGGTACGTGAATGGCCTCCGATACGTGCTTACTACAGCACTTGCTACTTCGCCACACACGCCGCCACGTAGAACACCAACCACATCCAGAGCGAACACACCTTCGCAAGATGAAATCCTTCGCGGTCGGTGTGGCAGAGATATCTCACGAGCCCGAGAGCCCTCGGTCCACCTTGTCTATTGCGCGGTCTAAGCGTCGTCATCGTCGTGCCAGGAGAAGTGGCGCCGCCGCCACACGGGATGCCCGTCCCACGGGGACGGGTCGGATTCGGAGGGCTCATACTTCTCATCCGGGCACGACTTGTAGTCTTCAACGGTCTGGCTGCAGGAATACGTTGTCGATTTGGCGCCCCCGTCAATCTTGTTCAGGCCCGGGACGATTTGCTTCTTGCGCGACTGGACGCCTATGCAATGCAAGAGACCCGTCTGAGACACGCAAACCGGCGAAGGTTCCGATTATAACAATACGCGGCGCCCATGAGGTCGACAACGTATACACCGTTTTTCAGGTACTCGCGAGGAGTCACGGTTGCGCCGTCCGCCGTCTCGAACCACTCGCCCATCACGAGCGCCTGTAGGCACAGCGGATTGAAGCCGGCATAAAACTGAGGATCGTGCTGAAGCCGTGAATGTGGAGTTCGGCGATTGTGTGGGTTTGGCGGGGGCGGGGGGAGGGAAGCCTTGGCGTACGGCCCGTAAGTGTGCTTGGTCAAAGGGTCCACGAAGCTGCAGTTTGTATAGTCGGCAGGATACGTTGGTGGACTTGGGATGTAAGTTGCCTTTGCCGGGAAACCGGGGAAGAACTCCTTGACCGACTCACGCACCTGCGGCCGCAGATCGTTCAAAAGGATTCCTCCTACCAGCATTACACGCGCAGCCAGGGGCGGGAGGGGTACGGGGAGGCCGCGGGGAGGGGCGCAGGGAGGGGTGCAGTCACGTCGATGATGAAGAAGAGGCAATCGCGCACGCTTGGATCCTCCACTTGATCCCTGATGAGCTGTGCTTTGCACGCCTCCCCCAGCTCCTTTGCCTGCGCGAAGAGAAGATCTGGAGTCACCGTTTCCTGCACGGCGATGCGGAGGTTGAACGTCTTGCCGTCCGGATCCTCAAAACCCTCCTGCGACCGGGATATGGGGAGAAGCGTGCTTAGAGGCGGCTCATATTTGATTAATTTGATGAGTGACAAGAACTACGAAAGGCCTGGATCTTCGAGTCGAGTAGCACAAGCTCCACTGGGGCGTGTACGCGCTCACATTAGACTTCGCCACAAGCATCTGGTAGGTGAAGTTCTCCCAGCTGGCGACGCCGGCAAGAGGGGCAAGGTACCTATGGATGGTGATCGAGGTTGGAGCAACACTCGCCGGAGGGTCGCCATCCTCAGGCTGACCGCCGCCACTCTCGCCGCCCCAACCGCTTCGCCCCACCCCCACACTCGCCGCCGACATCTGACTCGACACCCCCGCCGCGCCCGCCGCCCCGCGCACTTCACCGCCGTCTTGTCTCCTTCGGTGGTTGTCGACGAGGTGAGTCCCAGCGTGTCCGACAAGATCGTGGCCAGCATCAGACCTGAGGAAGAAGAGCAGTCTGTGAACACGAGTGATGGCTCATGGTGAGGGAGGGGCAGGCCTTCGCGCGCTCCTGCGATGTTCTGCTTGCAGCCGAGGCCAGGAATCGCCCTGCCGGCGGCCCGCGAGCGGTGGTAGAGGGCGGAACCCGCCGAGGCAATGGGGCGGATGTCGATCTCCGTCGGGGCGCTTGTCGTGAGGCCGTCCAATTTGTGGTGATCTACGATGCTGTGAAGGTGATCCTTCACGACGTCTTTCGTCGTACCGGAGGGCATTTGGGCGATGGAGTTGGTGTCCACGACGGCAAAATCGGCCCCCACAGGCAGGGCGCTGATGTTGGGCAGGATCGGCGGCTCCTTCTCGCGGAAGTAGTCGAGGACAAAGGCCGTCTCCGGGTTGATCTCGTCAGTGTTGACGTACGCTTTGGCACACTGCTTGTGTGTCGGGCCCGAGAAGCCGGGAGAGTCATCCGGCGGTGGGTTGAGGAGCTCCCACGCGTAGATGATCGCTGCGCTGACTGCATCAGTGTCCGGAGACGAATGGCCGAAGACGCCGATCTTTGTGGCTTCTTCCTCGCACGTGAACTGGGTGCCACACGTAGTGGGAGGGCGCGAACTGAAGGAAGACACGATTGGAAGCACGGAAAGCAGAAGGGGCAGCCTCATCATGCCTCGTCCGATCTTAGCTCCGAGAGGTTTGGTCGGTGTGGAGCGGAGCCCGTATTGTACGAGTAGGCCTGTCGATCGCGACGGCCTTGGTTCCCACCTCCCGGCCACCTGCAGCCCGCTCGCAGGTAGCCATCCGATAAGCCATTCACAGCGACAGCTGTGACGGCGCCTCACGTGCTCGGCTTTCACAAAGTCGATCGCCGATCTCCTTGCTCGCGAGCGATGCACGCTGCCCCGCTGCGTTTGCTCGCTCGCTCACACTGCACGATTCGCAGGTACTCCTGCGCCGCGCGCGCCGCGCCTCGCGCCGCGCGCCTCCTCCGCCCGGCGGCAGCTCGGCTGCTGCGCGCGGAGGCTCTTCCTGGCACCGCCGCGGTGCTGTGCGTTTGTTGGTGGCACAGTCACTGTGCACCTTGCTGCTGGAGGACCAGGTCTGGCGCTGACGAAGGCCGCGGCGCCACGCAGCCGCCCGGCCGCCGCGCGCGCGATGCGGCGAGGGCGTCAGCGCTGCCCGCACCGACGAGCAGCGCACGGACCACACGCGCTCGCCTACTGTGTGCTGCAGCTCAAGCCGCTCCTCCCGGCGGGCCGCGTGGCGCAGTCAGAGGAGGCCACACAGCCATCTCCTCTCGCAGCGCCGCCGCATGATCCCGCTGCCCGCCGCCGCCGCCGCCGCAGTCGCCGAGCAGCGCACGAGGAGTCTCTCTCCCTCTCTGCGAGTACAGCCTTAGGCGAGACGCGCTGCAGCCGCCGTGCGGCGGACGGGACACCCGCTCTTCCCGTCCACCAGCTCTAGGCGAAACACGCGCTCCCCGAGGAAGGCAGAGCGCGCTCGATGGCAGGGCAGCGCCGCCCTCGCCGCGCGGCCGGGAGGGAGATGGGAGGCCACCATGCTTGCCCTCGCCAGGGGAGCGGTCGCACTACCCGCTCCGCCCGCCGCCGCAGCCGCCGCAGCTTCGCCACACGGGAGAGAGTCTCCTCCTCCTCCTCCTAGCCTAGGGGAAGACCCCCTCCGGAGAGACGCCCCCGCGCTTTTCCCCTGGAGAGGGTTTGAGGGAAAGCCCGGGGGGGGCCCCCCCCCCCCCCCCCCCCGCCGCCGCCGCCTCAACCGCCGCCGCCGCCGCCGCCCGCCGCAACCGCAGAGCGATGCGCTTGCGCCAGGGATGGCCTCGTGTAGGTTTCAGGACATTGCGCAGCGTGCGAACTGCCGACGTTCACACGTTAGTAGTTGCTTCAGGTCATTGCGGTACTCCAGCAGGTCAAGCGTGAGGCGACCCGCCAATACGCTTGGCCAGCTCGGAGCGACGACGACCGCTCGCACGCTGCGACACCTCCCGGGGATAAGGCATAGGAGCGCTTCTACGAAGCAATCTGTCGCCTCCAGGCCACTCTGCGGTAGCACACACACGTGCGTGAACACGATGCGCACCCGAATGCACCACTCCTATCCTTCCGGGCGGAAAGTGGTGCGGTGTGCGTGAACACGATGCGCACGTTAGCACAGCAACCGTAGCTAACAGACAGCGACAATTGCGTAGCGACTAGACAGCAGCTTCAATAGCAACAGCAGTAGCGAGAGCAACAGCAGCAGCAGCAGCAGCAGACGAGAGCTACCCTTCGCTTGCATTCGAGTACACTAGTGACTCGCACTAGTTCGCTCCCTAGGACGAGCGACTCGCGCACGCCAGGGAGAACAATATTAGCTCCGAGAGGTTTGGTCGGTGTGGAGCGGAGCCCGTATTGTACGAGTAGGCCTGTCGATCGCGACGGCCTTGGTTCCCACCTCCCGGCCACCTGCAGCCCGCTCGCAGGTAGCCATCCGATAAGCCATTCACAGCGACAGCTGTGACGGCGCCTCACGTGCTCGGCTTTCACAAAGTCGATCGCCGATCTCCTTGCTCGCGAGCGATGCACGCTGCCCCGCTGCGTTTGCTCGCTCGCTCACACTGCACGATTCGCCCCTCCCGCCACACCCTGCGAACCGTAGGTGGTTGGGCAGGCCCCTTCGGGGCCTAGCATGCATAGCCGGCGCGCTGCCTGCAGCCGGCCCACGCCGCGAAGAGCCCGATCGCCCGCGCCCCAGCCCCGCCAGCCCGCGCGACCTCGTTGCCTCAGCGATCTGCCGAATTGCGAGCACGATGCGATCTCACCATGTGACTGATACATGGTTAGAGGCGCTAGCCTCCGCTGCGGATGGCGTGTGCGACACGACTGCGCCCGTGGCGGGTGGCAGTACGTGTGACACCATGGGACTGATACATGTTACATGTACATGTACATGTGTGCAACACCATGTGAGTGATACATGGGCCAGCGGCGTCTGCCACCGCTGCCGAGCGGCAAGTCCAATACACGGCTGTGTGCCCGTTGCGGGTGTAAAAGCGTGTGACACCGTGTGTATGATGCACGGTCTAACTGCGTTAGCCACCGCTGCCGAGCGGCAAGTGCGACACACCCGGCCCGTTGCGGGCGGCGGCTGAGAGCCATTGCGCGCACAGCTCGACTTGTGCCGCTGCATGGACCTATAGCGAGATGCTAATCTCTCGCTCAAGAGATGAGACAATCTCCCCGCCGAGCTCGTTCACACCGCGTGTTCACAGCTCGACTTGTGCCGCTGCATGGCACTATAGCGAGATGCTAATCTCTCGCTCAAGAGATGAGACAATCTCCCCGCCGAGCTCGTTCACACCGCGTGTTCACAGCTCGACTTGTGCCGCTGCATGGCACTATAGCGAGATGCTAATCTCTCGCTCAAGAGATGAGACAATCTCCCCGCCGAGCTCGTTCACACCGCGTGTTCACAGCTCGACTTGTGCCGCTGCATGGCACTATAGCGAGATGCTAATCTCTCGCTCAAGAGATGAGACAATCTCCCTGCCGAGCTCTTTCACACCGCGTGTTCACAGCTCGACTTGTGCCGCTGCATGGCACTATAGCGAGATGCTAATCTCTCGCTCAAGAGATGAGACAATCTCCCTGCCGAGCTCGTTCACACCGCGTGTTCACAGCTCGACTTGTGCCGTTGCATGGCACTATAGCGAGATGCTAATCTCTCGCTCAGTCAAGAGATGAGACAATCTCCCCGCCGAGCTCGTTCACACCGCGTGTTCACAGCTCGACTTGTGCCGCTGCATGGCACTATAGCGAGATGCTAATCTCTCGCTCAAGAGATGAGACAATCTCCCCGCCGAGCTCGTTCACACCGCGTGTTCACAGCTCGACTTGTGCCGTTGCATGGCACTATAGCGAGATGCTAATCTCTCGCTCAGTCAAGAGATGAGACAATCTCCCTGCCGAGCTCGTTCACACCGCGTGTTCACAGCTCGACTTGTGCCGCTGCATGGCACTATAGCGAGATGCTAATCTCTCGCTCAAGAGGTGAGACAATCTCCCCGCCGAGCTCGTTCACACCGCGTGTTCACAGCTCGACTTGTGCCGCTGCATGGCACTATAGCGAGATGCTAATCTCTCGCTCAAGAGATGAGACAATCTCCCCGCCGAGCTCGTTCACACCGCGTGTTCACAGCTCGACTTGTGCCGCTGCATGGCGCTATAGCGAGATGCTTATCTCTCGCTCAGTCAAGAGATGAGACAATCTCCCTGCCGAGCTCGTTCACACCGCGTGTTCACAGCTCGACTTGTGCCGTTGCATGGCACTATAGCGAGATGCTAATCTCTCGCTCAGCCAAGAGATGAGACAATCTCCCCGCCGAGCTCGTTCACACCGCGTGTTCACAGCTCGACTTGTGCCGCTGCATGGCACTATAGCGAGATGCTAATCTCTCGCTCAAGAGATGAGACAATCTCCCCGCCGAGCTCGTTCACACCGCGTGTTCACAGCTCGACTTGTGCCGCTGCATGGCACTATAGCGAGATGCTAATCTCTCGCTCAAGAGATGAGACAATCTCCCTGCCGAGCTCGTTCACACCGCGTGTTCACAGCTCGAGGCCGCCGCCGCCGCAGCCCACTCCTCCTCATCCTCCCTCGCAGCGTCGATCGTCCCATCGCCGCTCGTCGGCAGCGCGGGCACCAAGGGGTCCAAACTGGACACCTCGGTCCCACCTCCGATTCCACCCTCTGCGGCCTGCGCATCACAGGCGCCGCCGCGGCCCTCGCCGCCAGCCGCCGCCCCGCCGCCGTGCTCCTCGCTAGCGGAGCGCGTCCCATCTCCGCCGCGGGGGCCGCTAAGCCCGGCTGCGGCAAGCGCATGCAATGCGGCACGCACGGCACCCTCGGCAGCGCCTGTACCGACGCCGCCGCCCGCGCGCTCGCCCGCAGCACCATCGCCGCCGGCCATCGCGCTGCTGCCCGCCTCGAGCAGCGCCGCGACGCTGCTGACATCCTGGGCCAGCAGCTGCGGCACCACCTTATCTGAGATGGGCGCAGAAACTTGCGCCCGCTCGAGGAGGGCCGCGATATCCTCGTCGGGAGCGATGGTCGGCCGCGTAGACGCGAGGCCGCCATCACGGTGGTGCCCGGCCGCGTGGGCCGGGCTGCGGTCCGGCGCTCGCTGGTGGCGGTGAGAGCGAGCAGAGAGCGGGCGCGCGAACGTTTCGCGCGCTGGCTGTTCTTCACCTTTCTACCTACCTACCTCCGCTTGTGTGTCTTGTGAGCTTGTTTGTGTCTGTGTGTCGTTCGTGCGTGTCGTCATCATCTGTCCCGCGTCCACCCATACCGCGTTGGTGTCCAGTCTGCGAGCCTGACTGTTGTTCATCTTTCTACATACATCCGCTTAGCACTCCCTTTGTTCTCTTCTCATAAAATCGGAGGGTCGGCCCACGGGGGGACCTCCCTAGCTGTTCGCACTCGAATGCCGTGGCCCCAGATCGCGGACCCCCTGTACCGCGTCGGCGCCTCAGCGGCGTGGATGCTGCCGCGACGGCCCGGCGACCCGATAGGTGGCCTTCCCACATGCATCTCCCCAATCGCGCCCGCGCTCCGGACCTCTCCGCGCGCGCGCAGTGCTCACCGGCGCCGCCTTCGGAGCGCCGCCACGAGCGCCGCTCGCCGCACATATGGCCGGCCACGCGGCCGACCTGGCGCCGCCCCGGCGGTGACGCTCGCCCGCCTGGTCTCAGGAGCGGCACCCGGCGCGTGATGTCGGACGAGACGCGGCCTCGCACTGTGGACCCATGCGCAGCATTGAGCGAGGCGGGCAAGAGTGCCGCCGACCGTGCGGTCGCGGCTCTCCGCGCGCTCGGGCGCGAGGCCTACAGCCACCAGCGCGAGGCGCTGCAATTGCAGTCCGACGGGGGAGACGTCCTCCTCTGCGCGGCGACGGGCGCCGGAAAATCTGCCGCCTACCAGGCGGCTGCGTATGCGGCGCCCGACGGGATGCTCATCGTGGTCGTGCAGCCGCTGGTCGAGCTCATCGACAGTCCAAGATGGCGGCTCGCGCCCCCATCCGTGCACCAGCGCGCCTCTCTAGTCCCGCCTGTCACCCAGATACCGAGGGCGGGGCGCACTCTTCGACTTGGGCTATTATCTGGCCTCGGGAGGGCGGCGGCGGCGGTGTAGGGGCGGCGGCGAGCTCCCGGTGGCAAATACTCGCCTCACACAGTCCAAGATGGCGGCTCGCGCCCCCATCCGCGCACCAGCGTGCCTCTCTAGTCCCGCCTGCCGCCCAGATACCGAGGGCGGGGCGCACTCTTCGACTTGGGCTATTATTTGCCACCGGGAGGGCGGCGGCGGCGGTGTAGGGGCGGCGGCGAGCTCCCGGTTGCAAATACTCGCCTCACAGGCAGTCCGGCCGACACACACACACACACAAACCACACACACACTCACACACACACACACACACACACAGCGCACAGCGCCATCGGACGTATTTTCTTCTCACAACAAGGCTGTGAACTGACGCCGTCCTTGTAGCCTGTGCTGGCAAAGACCAAAATGGGCGCCTCGGCCTCTCGCCATATCCGCACGCTCGCCGGCCACACCGACTCGGTGTGTTCCGTGGCAGTCAGCCCCGACGGGCAGTGGATCGTGAGCGGCTCGTGCGACAAAACGGTCCGCGTGTGGCGCCTCTCCGACGGGTCTCCCGCCCGCACGCTCGCCGGGCATACCAACCACGTGTTTTCCGTGGCGGTCAGCCCCGACGGGCAGTGGATCGTGAGCGGCTCGTGCGACAAAACGGTCCGCGTGTGGCGCCTCTCCGACGGGTCTCCCGTCCGCACGCTCGCCGGGCATACCAACCACGTGTTTTCCGTGGCGGTCAGCCCCGACGGGCAGTGGATCGTGAGCGGCTCGCGCGACAAAACGGTCCGCGTGTGGCGCCTCTCCGACGGGTCTCCCGCCCGCACGCTCGCCGGGCATACCTACCACGTGCAATCCGTGGCGGTCAGCCCCGACGGGCAGTGGATCGTGAGCGGCTCATGGGACAAGACGGTCCGCGTTTGGCGCCTCTCCGACGGGTCTCCCGCCCGCACGCTCGCTGGGCATACCAACAACGTGTTTTCCGTGGCGGTCAGCCCCGACGGGCAGTGGATCGTGAGCGGCTCGTGCGACAAAACGGTCCGCGTGTGGCGCCTCTCCGACGGGTCTCCCGTCCGCACGCTCGCCGAGCATACCTCCGACGTGTATCCCGTGGCGGTCAGCCCCGACGGGCAGTGGATCGTGAGCGGCTCGCGCGACAAGACGGTCCGCGTGTGGCGCCTCGGCGCGGCAACCTCCCCGCCCGTGCCCGGCGAGGCGCCGACGCGCTTCTCGCTCAGCCAGTACAAGCGGCTCCACGACGCGCAGCTCGCCCGCTGGTCGGGCGTCAATTTCTCCACTCCGGCCGCCATCGGGGGGCTGCGCTTACGCTGGAGCTTGCAGCGGCCTACGCGCGTGCGCATGGCGTGGCGGACGCGCCGCTGCACGCCTTCATCGCGGCGTTGGAGCGCGTGTGGCAGCAGGAGCGGCGCTTGGAGCAGATGGCGGTCCGCCTGTGGACGTCGTTGGAGAAGCTCAACGGGCGGGAGCTGTGCTCGATCATCAACGAGGGCCTCCGCTCCGAGGCGGTGCCCGACCTGCAACGCCCCGCCGTCGCGCTCACGGCGATGGTCCAGGTGCACCTCAACCGCGCCCGCCGCGGCTTAGCCAACGGCCCCTGGCCGGATGGGCGGGACATGGACAAGTTTGGACGCTTGCCGGACGGCACGCTCATTCGGATCGGCTCCTTTCCCACGGTGGCGCACACCTTCCACCGGGGCACTGGCATGCCCACCGACCCGGCCGCCGCCGAACGGGTGCTGGGCTTCTACGAGGCACTCGCAGACCGCCGGCGCACCGGCCGCGTGTACCGCGTGCCCGGGATGCTCGCCACGTCGATGGATCAGAGCGTCGCGCGCGGCTTCCTCGCCGACCCGCGCAACGCGGGGCAGCCCAAGATCCTGTGGACCGTCGTGACGTGCGTCGACGCCCGCGGCTACAGGGACGCGAGCCTCAAGCCGCTGCACGTGGCATACCTCTCGCACACCGAGGGCCACGGCGAGGAAGAGCTGCTCTTCTCGGCCTATTCGGCCTTCCGCGTCGAGTCGGTCGTGCGCTCGAGCACGCCGGACCGGCCGGCGACCCCGCACCGCATCACCATCGTCGCGGCGTACGACAACCAGGCCGAGGAGGAGGACGCGCCGACTGCGCCCTGGCAGTAATGCCCTTGAATGATAAACTGCGGCGACAGTCATCTAACACCCACTCGACCCACACACGCTACTGGCGAGCGACCGGGACCCCGCGGCCGCCGGCCCGACCTCACGTAAATGCTACATCTAGGTGAGCAGTAGCCAGTAGCAGTACCACACCGCACTCCTCACCTAGCTCCTCACGCCGTGCCCCCACATTTTCTGATTTACGTATTACGATCAGAGCCGTATCTCGTGTGTGTATGTGTTCGCAGAAACTACTTGCTCTCTTATAGGTTTTACGTACACTTTCACCACGCGCACGGCGCTGGTGTTGCATATACGTTATGGGAGGCGCTCCCTCCGTGACAAATTGTGAAAGCGTGACAGCCACAGCGGCTGTTCTTGTGGGCCACGCTGCTCGCGTCGCCTCGGCCGTCGGAGCCGACGTCGTCACAACGACAGAGACGTTCGACTTCTTCTGGCGTGGCCAGTTCGCTGGCTTCATCGTCAAGGGCCAGTTCAGCTACAACCAGGCCGACGTCCCGCCGAACGGCATCGTGAGGGAGGAGCACCTCCTCTCCCTCGACGTCTCGTTCTATGATCCACAAGGCGTCCACCTTCGCACCTACTCGGACAATCACCTTCGGTCCGTCGACTCGTCTGGCAACCCGTACGTGAACTTCGCCTTCGACACCCTCTCGCAGGAGCTGCTCCAAGACGGCACCTTCAACGTGGACGATGACATCCACCGCTACCGCAACGGGTTCGTCTTCGGTGAAGGCGACCCGTCAATGCGCACCTCTCCGGGCTGGCCTTCTGGTCTCGCCCCGCCGACAACAAGACGCCGCACCTTCACGTGGACGACTGGAACAACGCGACCGGAGCGGGCGAGTTCGGCTTTCCAATCGGGTACAGCAGTCACAAGGACGCATCCTTCGCGTACGCCACGACCGCCGACAAGATCGAGGGAGGAAAGGTCGGGGCTGCATACTACGAGACGGACGAGGAACGAGACCGTGATTCGCAACATCCTGGCGTCGGACGTCGCGGCGAAAGGCCAAGCGGTCCGCGTAGTCCGCGTCGTGGCTCGTGCGTCGCCGCCTTGCCCTGATGGAGCTGCATCGTGGGCGGACGCGCCCTCCTCTTCGCCTCCGTCTCGACCTGTCCCGAGGACTGCACTCCAAGTGCTCCAAGATAGTGCTTGGCTCCCCGGCCCTGGATGTGAGGCTGCCTGTGACTGCAATCCAAGTGCTCCGCCCTCGCACAACACTCAAAGAGATAATGCACCCGGGATGACACCAGGATCCAGGACCAAGGTGTGACCGAGGCGCGAGGGCTTGGCTGGTCAGATGCCCGAGAGCTCAGCCCGAGAGCCGAGAGTACGTGTACGAGCTGCGAGGCCAGTGTTACCATCCACGATCCACGACGTACACGTAGATCGTGCGTGGACCGTTTGATTCTAACCTTGGTCTTGGACTTAATTAACGTATGTCGATGTCGATGCGATATGGATCTACGATCGTCGCCGTTCTGCTGAGTACTGAGAGGCGTGTCGGTCGCCCCACGCGCCCGCACTCACCTCAAGCCTCAGTGCGCCTGCTCCCCTCGCGCGAGGCGGAGCGGCAGGTCGAAGAGCGACTCGCGCAGCAGCCGTCCGGCCGCCTCCTCGCCAAACAAGCGCGAGAGCATCGGGCGCGCAGGGTCCCTCTCGGTGCGGTAGGTTGCGTACTCGAACTGAGCCGCAAGCACAGCGTCGAGCTCGGGAGCGGGCGGCGGCGACGCGGGGAGGCGGGTCCGCGAGCAGCCGGAGGTAGGCCCTTGTGTAGTCTTCCATCGCCGGCAGCAGCAGCGAGACGAGCTCGTCCGGAGGGGTGCTGGCCGGCAGCCGCGACCAGAGGAAACGGTCCGAGAAGAAGCGGGCAGAGTCGGGCGGCACCGGCCCTCCGGGCGGGAGCCGTCGCCGGTGTTTCGCGTACGCGGCGTCGAGCTGCGCCTACACCTCGGCTCGCGAGTAGAGGGTGGGTGTGGATGCTGAGTTGACGGAAATCGGAGGACGCGACCCACTTCGCCACAGACGGTCCCGCGCCTCGCCGCTATGACCGCTGCACGGCCCATACCGTCCGCTGTGCAGCGGTCTTTGTCCGGAGTGAAAAGTCCAACGCGCTCGTCGGTGACGGTGTCCTCCAATCTGCGCCACGCTCGGCGAACCTCGACAGCGCTTTCGGTGGCATGCAGCTCTTTGCGTCAGCGGAAGCCTGGAGAGAAGCTCCTCTACACGCTCTGCACAGTTGGCACAGCCTACTGTGCGGCTGCCACAGCTGTCACAGCGATGGGCTCGCCCTCACTGGCCCTCAGTCACTTGTGCTGCGGCTTGTGTCATGTGTGTGAGCGACACTGCTCGGCGACTGCCGGCACACGTGAGACCATGGGTGTCTGTGAGGTTAAACCACGCTACCAGCGCTTGGCCACATTGGCCCTGAGGTCAGATCCTTCTACTCTGTTGATGACAACACTTGTCTACTCGCTGGAGCCGGGCAGGAGGGCCCAGCACACAACCCCTGGTCAACTCACCCTCCACACCCCGTACGCCGAACGGGGGGGGGCGGGGGGGGGGGCAGATTCGTAGGTCGTAAAGCCGTACGGCTCAAGAGCGCGGGCGCGCGATCGACATCGAGGTCTTTACACTGCGTATCTTAGTGGACACAAGGCAAAGAGGACCGCATCACACCTCGCAACACACGCGAGACAAGCTCAAACCCACACGAGTCAGAGCCGACAGAGCATCGATCAGCGCACTCACCTCCTCTAATGGGACCGCGCGAGAGGCCGCGAGAGTAGCTCCTGCTCACCAGAGCGCCCACAGGAGCACACGAGCACACGCACACGACAGCCCTCCTCTCCGCCCAGCGAGGGGGGGGGGGGGGGGGGACTACCTGTCGCGCGCCAGCATCGGCGACGCCGACACGGAGGACGGCGCCGAGTTGGCAGCCGACGTCGCGAGCGACGAGGGCGCCGACGGCGGCGCCTTGCGCGCCATGGAGGGGGACGAGCGCGCAAACGAGAGGGAGGAGGAGAGCATCATCGGCGAGGGCGAGATCGTCCCCATCCCCGAGGCGGAGAAGGCCTTGACGAGATCGCCCATGTCCGCGACCAGGTCGAGGATGCGGACCTCCGACTCAAACTCGAGGCAGGGCGTCGGCGCGTCGAGGCCCTCCTCCTCGTCCGAGCCGCCGCCCCCCTCCGCCCCCCCGTCGCACGAGGAGCGCCGCTGCGGCTGATCGCGTGACGCGGCGTGGATCGAGAATGCGCCGCCCTCCTCACCATCCGAGAGGACGGTGGCGCAGAGGGACGCCTTGACCGAGAGGGGCATTATCATTAATTATTATAAAATCGTTGCTTAGTTAGTTATTAATTAACAGTGGCGCAGAGGGACGCCTTGACCGAGAGGGTCGGGTCGCGCAGGTACTTGCTGAGGACGCCGAGGGACAGCCCGAGCGGCCCGCGGATCTCGGGCGCACAGTGAGCGGCCAGCAGTGCATGGCCATGCTCGAGCAGCAGCGGCACGCGCGCCGAGATCTCGAGGTCCTGCCCGCGCAGGCAGAGGCGCGCGCCCGGCGCCGTGCGCATCTGCAGCATGCAAGCGCCTAATTAATAACTAAGCCGAATTAAGCCTGATTAATTATTCATTCGGTGCGCATCTGCAGCATGCACGCGCCCAGCTCGAGGCCGTGGGAGGGCTGCGCGACCGTCGGCGGCGCAGCGACGGGCGCGGTGCGCGGCCGCGCAGAGAGCGCGTCGCCGAGGTTGAGCGCCGCCTTGGAGGTGTGCTCGGCCACGGAGTCCCGAGCCTAGAACAAACAAGAGAAGCCGGACTGTGGCCGCCAGACCGAAATACGGGTCGTCTCGGCCACGGAGTCCCGCGCCGCCGCCGCCGCCGCAATCGATTGCGGGCTCTTGTGCTGCTGCTGCGGCTTTGGCGCAGCCGCCGCAACCGTCGCCGCCGCCACGCCCGTCTGCGCGCCGTCGGCCGCGCCTCCGCCTCCCAGCTGCGCCGTGCGCACCCAGCGCCGGCGGCGCACAAACGTGATGGCCGTGGCGGACGCGCTCCATGGCCCTCGCCACGTGGGCGCGTACAGCCAGCCGTCCGAGCCGCTCGGCGCCTCACGCCGCCACTCGCCCGCCCAACGGCTGCAATCGGGCGGCAGCAGCACCCGCTCCAGGGCCGTGAACCCGCGCGCGGGTGAGGACCCCTCAACAACGAACGCCGCCGGCGGCGCCTCGTCGGCGTAGAGCCGCTGCGTGAGCGAGTCGGACCCCCACGCACGCCACGGCGCGGCGCGGCGCTGGTGCTCGAAGACGCACACCCGCCTCAGCCTGCCGCGAGGCATCGAGACCGCCGCGACGTCAAAGACGCGCGGCGGGCAGGAGGCGGGCGAGGGCGGCGGCGGCTCCTCCTCCTCCCCCGGCGGCGGGGCATGCTCGCGCTGCGACGGGTCCCACGCAGCGACCGCCTGTTCACAGCGGCGGGTGTGAAGAGACGCTGTTCACACCCTCCGACGGGTCCCACGCAGCGACCGCCTCGGCGGCCCCGACGAGCGGGCCGGTCGGCGCCTGCTCTGCGGCGAGGAAGTGTCTAGGAAGTGTCTAGGAAGTGTCTAGGAAGTGTCTGTGCATTCTCCCCGTAGGCGATCATGGAAGTGTCTAGGAAGTGTCTAGGAAGTGTCTAGGAAGTGTCTAGGAAGTGTCTAGGAAGTGTCTAGGAAGTCTCGGTGCCTGCTCTGCGGCGAGGTTGAGCCGTTCCTCCAGCGTCAGCTGGTCGCCGCTGCCGCCGAGGGCCGCCTCGAGGTCGGGCAGCGCCGAGGAGGCGACGGGCAGCGACTCGCGCGAGGCGGCGGCGGCGTGGGTCTGCAGCTCTGGCGGTGTGGGCAGCGGCAAGTGCTCGGGCGCCTGCACGAGGGAGACGTGGCAGCACTCGACACCGTGCATGAAGAGGGACACGCCGGCACGCCGCGCCACAAGCCGCGCGAGGCGGACGCGCGGCTGGTGCTCGCTCGAGCGCTGCAGGTCGGCCGCCAGGCTCGCGAACTCCTCGAGGCCGAGTGTACCACCGCCGTCGACGTCGTACTTTGCGAGTACGCCCGCCGCCTCGCTGTGATCGGTGCGCAGCCCGAGCTCCTTGAGCGCCTACAAAAAAAGAAACATTTGGCCGCCACTGTTTTCTTTCTTCGCAGCCCGAGCTCCTTGAGCGCCCTGCGGATCTCGTGCACGTCCAGCCCGCCTATTCACAGCAGTGCGGGTGTGAAGAGACGCTGTTCACACCTCTCTGCGGATCTCGTGCACGTCCAGCCCGCCTATTCACAGCAGTGCGGGTGTGAGGAGACGCTGTTCACACCTCTCTGCGGATCTCGTGCACGTCCAGCCCGCCTATTCACAGCAGTGGGGGTGTGAAGAGACGCTGTTCACACCTCTCTGCGGATCTCGTGCACGTCCAGCCCGCCTATTCACAGCAGTGCGGGTGTGAAGAGACGCTGTTCACACCTCTCTGCGGATCTCGTGCACGTCCAGCCCGCCTATTCACAGCAGTGCGGGTGTGAAGAGACGCTGTTCACACCTCTCTGCGGATCTCGTGCACGTCCAGCCCGCCTATTCACAGCAGTGGGGGTGTGAGGAGACGCTGTTCACACCTCTTTGCCGATCTCGCGCACGGCCAGCCCGCCTATTCACAGCAGTGGGGGTGTGAGGAGACGCTGTTCACACCTCTCTGCGGATCGCGTGCACGTCCAGCCCGCCTATTCACAGCAGTGCGGGTGTGAGGAGACGCTGTTCACACCTCTCTGCGGATCTCGTGCACGGCCAGCCCGCCTATTCACAGCAGTGGGGGTGTGAAGAGACGCTGTTCACACCTCTCTGCGGATCTCGCGCACGTCCAGCCCGCCTATTCACAGCAGTGCGGGTGTGAAGAGACGCTGTTCACACCTCTCTGCGGATCTCGTGCACGTCCAGCCCGCCTATTCACAGCAGTGCGGGTGTGAAGAGACGCTGTTCACACCTCTCTGCGGATCTCGTGCACGTCCAGCCCGCCTATTCACAGCAGTGCGGGTGTGAGGAGACGCTGTTCACACCTCTCTGCGGATCTCGTGCACGTCCAGCCCGCCTATTCACAGCAGTGCGGGTGTGAAGAGACGCTGTTCACACCTCTCTGCGGATCTCGTGCACGTCCAGCCCGCCTATTCACAGCAGTGCGGGTGTGAAGAGACGCTGTTCACACCTCTCTGCGGACTTCGTGCACGTCCAGCCCGCCCGAGCCGTCCTTGTCGAACGAGCGGAAGGCCGCCTGCACTGTCCCGTCCGGGTCCAGAACGCCCAAGTCCGCGGCGGAGACCGCCGCGTGCGGCAAGCCGCCGCCGCCGTCGAGGGGGCGCGGCGCACCTAGAAAAGAGAAAATGCCGTGCCCAAAAGGAAATACAGCGCCACCAGGGTTGCGGCGCACCTAGAACCAAGGAAGCCAGGTGGAGAAACGAAATGCGGCGGGCCGTCGAGGGGGGCGCGGCGCACCGCCGCCGCCGATTGTGTCACCAAATGTGTCCGCGAGCGGAGGTAGGTTGTCGTGCAGCGTGGCGGGGCACGTCGCGTCGATCTGGACCTGGCCGTCGTCGCGGATGTGGGCGGCGAGGTTGTAGCCGGACACCTATAGAAAAGAAATCACGGTCCAGAAAAGAAATGGAGGCGGCGAGGTTGTAGCCGGACACCAGCGGCGTGAAGAGCCACGAGGCGTACGGACCGTAGTCGATGGCGGCCTCGTCGGCGCGCAGCAGCGAGTTGCCGCTTGGCCCGCCGGTGAGGGAGAGGCCGACGGTGGCGGTGGCGTGGCGGACCGAGCGGCGGATGGCCGAGAGGAAGAGCGCCCCCTCGGCGGAGAGGCGGTCGAGGAAGGTTTTTGCAGAGCCGTGGTTCTTGCCCTCCTTGGCGAGCATCTCGCGCACCGCCGCGACGAGCGTGTCGAGCGCCGCGTCGGGCTCGAGCCCAAACGCCAGCCGCCGCACGACAAGCCGCACGGCCGCCGGCTTGCTGTCGAGCTCCGCGGCACGCTGCAGCAAGGCCGGCACCTCGGGAGCGGTACTTTATGATCATTATCATTATCATTATTTATTCTTATCATTCTTGTGATGATTATTATTCTTAAGGCCGGCACCTCGGGGGCGGGCACGCCGTACACGGCGGCGAGCGGCGCGAGGCCTGCCTCGAGGGCGCGAACCAAGCCGTCCATGTCGAGCTCGCCCAGCTGCGCAAACAGACGCAGCAGCCCTGCGAGGGTCGAGAAGCCGTCGGCAGCACATCTCCCCAGATCTCCCCAGATCTCCCCAGATCTCCCCAGATCTCCTGCGAGGGTCGAGAAGCCGTCGGCAGCACATCTCCCCAGATCTCCCCAGATCTCCCCAGATCTCCCCAGATCTCCCCAGATCTCCTGCAAGGGTCGAGAAGCCGTCGGCAGCACACCTCCTCATATCTCCCCAGATCTCCCCAGATCTCCCCAGATCTCCTGCGAGGGTCGAGAAGCCGTCGGCCGCACACCTCCTCATATCTCCCCAGATCTCCCCAGATCTCCCCAGATCTCCCCAGATCTCCTGCGAGGGTCGAGAAGCCGTCGGCAGCACATCTCCTCATACCTCCCCAGATCTCCCCAGATCTCCCCAGATCTCCCCAGATCTCCCCAGATCTCCCCAGATCTCCTGCGAGGGTCGAGAAGCCGTCGGCCGCACGCCGCTGCCCCCCCTTGGCGGCGGCGGCGGCGGCGGCGGGCTCGTCGGCGGCGGCGGCGTCGGCGGCGCCACCCGGCGCCTCTGCGGCCTCGTCCGTTGGCTCAGGCGACAGCAGCGCCTCGGAGGAGTCTGCGGCGGCGGCGGCGACGCCTCCGTCGCCTCCGAGGCCTCGCCCCGCCTGTTAATTCGTTAATTCGGTAATTAATTAGTGAATTACCTCCGTCGCCTCCGAGGCCTGAACTAAGTAGTTACCTCGAGCAGCATCTGCATCTGGGCGGGCGAGAGACCGAGCTGGGTCGCCGGCCGGTCGTCGGCGGCGATGGGGCGCTCGAAGAGAGAAGCCGGCGGGCCTAATTAATTGAGTAATTGTTTATTAACTGTTTCATTCGGCGCTCGAAGAGGGAAGCCGGCGTGCCGGAGATGTCGAGGCCGAGCGAGACGGTGGCGCCGTGTCGCGCCTGGCAGAGGTCGCTGCGTAATTCGTTGATGAGTTAGGACTCGAGAGGCGGTGGCGCCGTGCAGAGGTAGCTGCCCAGGTACGGGCCGAGATACGGGGGAGATATGGGGGAGATATGGGGGGGAGATGGGCCCGCGCCTGGCAGAGGTAGCTGCCCAGGTATGGCCCGATCTGCGAGAGGACAACCTAATTAAATAAATAATAAGTATTTAGTTTATGATTTCTTTAATTCGCCCGATCTGCGAGAGGAGAACCTTCTTGATGATGCGCTCGATGACGGCAGAGACGACAAGCCGGACCTATCGGGGAGATATGGGGAGCTATAGGGAGATATGGGGAGATATGGGCAGAGACGACGAGCCGGACCGGGCTCATGTCGCTGGGGCCGAGGTTGGTCCTGCACTCGAGGAGGTGGATGCCGAACCCGCGCTCGAACTTCCACTTGCGCCGCTTGGCCTAATTAAGTAATAGTTGACTGGAGTAATACTTAATTGCGCCGCTTCGCCTTGTAGACGAGCGGTATCATATTATTTATTAACTATTATTATTAACTAGTATGATTAACTATTTTGATTAACTGTTATTTATTTGCGCCGCTTCGCCTTGCAGACGAGCGGGATCTTCTTATTTATTAACTCTTATTATTAAATGATTAACTGTCATTTATTTGCGCCGCCTCGCCTTGTAGACGAGCGGGATCTTATTATTTATTTAACTCTTATTATTAAATGATTAACTGTTATTTATTTGCGCCGCTTCGCCTTGTAGACGAGCGGGATCTTATTATTTATTTAACTATTATTAGCCGCTTCGCCTTGTAGACGAGCGGGATCTTATTATTTATTTAACTATTATTAGCCGCTTCGCCTTGTAGACGAGCGGGATCTTATTATTTATTTAACTATTATTAGCCGCTTCGCCTTGTAGACGAGCGGGATCTTATTATTTATTTAACTATTATTAGCCGCTTCGCCTTGTAGACGAGCGGGATCTTATTATTTATTTAACTATTATTAGCCGCTTCGCCTTGTAGACGAGCGGGATCTTATTATTTATTTAACTATTATTATTAAATGATTAACTGTCATTTATTTGCGCCGCTTCGCCTTGTAGACGAGCGGGATCTTATTATTTATTTAACTATTATTAGCCGCTTCGCCTTGTAGACGAGCGGGATCTTATTATTTATTTAACTATTATTAGCCGCTTCGCCTTGTAGACGAGCGGGATCTTATTATTTATTTAACTATTATTAGCCGCTTCGCCTTGTAGACGAGCGGGATCTTATTATTTATTTAACTATTATTAGCCGCTTCGCCTTGTAGACGAGCGGGATCTTATTATTTATTTAACTATTATTAGCCGCTTCGCCTTGTAGACGAGCGGGATCTCCGCCACGAAGCGCGCGGCCACAGCGAGCCGCCCGAAGCCGATCGTTGGCGAGAACTCGGCGCCGAGCACCTTCGGTGCAGGTGCGGGGAGATGCGGGGAGATGCGGGGAGATACGGGGGAGATGCGGGGAGATACGGGGGAGAGATGGGGGAGAGATGGGGGAGAGATGGGGGAGAGATGGGGGAGATACGGGGAGATACGGGGAGATACGGGGAGATACGGGGAGATATAGAGGAGAGAGTGCACCTCGGTGCGGTTGACGAGCGACACGCCGCGCGCCACAAACTGGAGCAGCCCGCCCGCCGCCTCGTCTGCGCCGGCGGCGGCGTCGCCGTGCCACCGGATCGTGATCTTTGGGTACTGCGTGCGGCCGCCCTTGGAAGCGCGGGAGGAGGTGGAGGCGGAGGCGACGTGCAGCTCTACTCCGCCGGCAAGCTGCTCGAGGTGCAGGTCCTAGACGAGATGCGGGGAGATCGGGGGAGATCGGGGGAGACCGACGCGAGCTGCTCGAGGTGCGGTTCCTTGAAGCCGATGTACATGTCGCGGACGGAGAAGCGGAGGCGGTACCCCTCGCTGGCGGGGAAGTAGTGTGCGCGCCGGCACTCGTTCAGCTCGCCTAGTTCGAGGATGAAGTCATTCATTCACTCATTCCTCAATGAACTCGCGCCGGCACTCGTCCAGCTCGCCTACTCACAGCGGTGGGTGTGAAGAGACGCTGTTCACACCTCTCTGCGCCGGCACTCGTCCAGCCCGCCTGCTCACAGCGGTGGGTGTGAAGAGACGCTGTTCACGCCTCTCTGCGCCGGCACTCGTCCAGCTCTCCCTGCGTCGACGCGAGCTTGTCCTCGAGCATCCCCAGCTTCACCTCAATGTCGGCCGCGTCACCGGCCGACGAGGAGCTCGACGCGTCCGTGCCCGTGCCACCTGTTCACGGCTGCAGGTGTGAAGAGACGCTGTTCACAGGAGCTCGACGCGTCCGTGCCCGTGCCACCTGTTCACGGCTGCAGGTGTGAAGAGACGCTGTTCACAGGAGCTCGACGCGTCCGTGCCCGTGCCACCTGTTCACGGCTGCAGGTGTGAAGAGACGCTGTTCACGCGAGCTCGACGCGTCCGTGCCCGTGCCACCTGTTCACGGCTGCAGGTGTGAAGAGACGCTGTTCACAGGAGCTCGACGCGTCCGTGCCCGTGCCACCTGTTCACGGCTGCAGGTGTGAAGAGACGCTGTTCACAGGAGCTCGACGCGTCCGTGCCCGTGCCACCTGTTCACGGCTGCAGGTGTGAAGAGACGCTGTTCACAGGAGCTCGACGCGTCCGTGCCCGTGCCACCTGTTCACGGCTGCAGGTGTGAAGAGACGCTGTTCACAGGAGCTCGACGCGTCCGTGCCCGTGCCACCTGTTCACGGCTGCAGGTGTGAAGAGACGCTGTTCACAGGAGCTCGACGCGTCCGTGCCCGTGCCACCTGTTCACGGCTGCAGGTGTGAAGAGACGCTGTTCACAGGAGCTCGACGCGTCCGTGCCCGTGCCACCTGTTCACGGCTGCAGGTGTGAAGAGACGCTGTCTACAGGAGCTCGACGCGTCCGTGCCCGTGCCACTGCCCTCCACCAACGGCGGCAGCGGCGCCCTGTCTGGCCGCGGCGGCCGCAGAAACGACATCGTGCCCGCGAGGCCGCCGCCTGGCGAGTCGCTGCGCCAGCCGGGGCTGGCCTCGCGCGGCTCTGCGCGCTCGAGCGCCTAATTCATAATCACACCGAAGTTAACGATTAACCCTGCGCCGAATAATTAATTCGGCTCCGCGCGCTCGACGGCCTTCTCCTGCGCCTTGACCTCGCGCTCGAGCAGCCCCACCGTCTGCTCCATCGCGCCCATCTGCAGCTTGAGCGCCTCCGCCTCCACCTTCCACTTTGCCTAGGGTTAGGGTTAGGGTTAGGGTTAGGGTTAGGGTTAGGGTTAGGGTTAGGGTTAGGGTTAGGGTTAGGGTTATACTTCCGCTTTGCCTTTGCTTCCGAGAGCAGCGCCTTCTCGCGCGCGACGAGGGCGCACCAGGTCGGCGCGGCGGTACGCAGCCGCGCCTCCGCCTCGAGCGCCGCGGGCACGCCGAGGAAGGCGAGCAGCGCGACCGGCAGGCAGCCCGCCGTCGCGCGCGACGTCTCCTCGCACGCCTTTTCGAGGTACGCCTGCAGCTTCTTCTCGCGCTCGCGCTTGACGGAGGCGCCAGCAAAGAAGGCGCGCGAGATGGGGAATGCGTCGGCCACGGCCGGCGTCGCGAGGCTCAGCGTCGCGTGCAGCTGCCGGAACTCGGAGAATCGCTTGGACGACCGCACCGGCTGCGCCGGCTCAGAGGCGGGAGCGGCGGACGGCAGCGTCGTCTCGATGTGGTAGACGGTGTGGCCGTCGAGCTCGCCGTGCCCCGTCACGCGTGGCGCAACCACGGTGGGGACGGATGGGGCGGCAGAGGGAGAGAGGGAGAAGGTCGCCATGCGGATGCAATGAGTTGGAGATGGCGCCGGGCGCCGCCGACCCGACGGAATTCCTTGAGGACTGCGCCCGGGCGAAATAAAGAATTTTTGCTCTGGCACGACACGATTACGCGACAGGAATAAAGAATGATGACGCAAAGCACGACGGCTAGCGCATCACACCCCCCGGACACCCCACTTGCACGATGTGGCTCCTGCTTGCTCATGTGACGTCCGGCCGTCGACCGTTCGCCGCAACGTTCGCAGTGCTGTCGACAACCGCGCCACATGCGGCAGCGGCGTCTCTGGCTACGCCGGGGTGGGAGGCGATGCGGCAACAAAGACTCGACAGGATGGCGGCGGAAGTGGAGACAAAGGCGGCGCTGTGTGCCGGTCGGACTGCGGCCGAGATACCGGACCTAAGCGTGTTTGACATGACGTTCGACCCGCTGTGCTACATCTCGGGCTACTACGAGCTCATTGCGATTGGCGCGATCCTCGGAGTCCTCAAGGTCGGGCAGGCTGCTCAGGAGCCGCTGGCAGAGGGCCAAGGCGCGCAAGACCGCCTCCGGATGCAGCTTGATCGCTCAAACCCCGTCGTGATGCAGCTCCAGTGGCCAGGCGCTGGCGGAGGCGACAGCGACTTCTTTCCAGAGGGCGACGACCCCGACGAATTTGACAGCGGCAAGGGCCCGCTCCGGCTCCAGATCCTCAGGAACGCAAACTTCTTCCAGGGCACGCTCGGAGGCTACTCGAAGCTGCGACCCGCGATGAAGCGCGCGTTCGCTGGCGTGAGCAAGGATGGGACGGACAACGGCTGGATTGATAGCGCTGCAGAGTTCGAGAAGCTCATGAAGAGTGTTGGCGCGTCCGCCAAGGGCGCCTCATAGCTCCCACACGGTTCGTAGAGAGGATCGGTCTCCGGCACTCGGCCTAGGCGAGGAGATGTCCGAGTCGGACAACGAGCGGCTCTTCTCTCTCGCCCGCGACCGGAAGGCCTCCTTCAACGGCCAGCCGCCCGGTACGGTGACCTTTGAGCAGTGGGTAGCCGTGATGCTGGCGACGGCCAGCGAGGCCAGCGGCGAGATCGAGAAGCCCTTCTTTGGGCTCTTCTAGCATACTCCTTGTACGTTGTGGTACTTCTCCTCTCGAGGTTGCGTGTCATGTCCAACTCACCGCGCCGCGACGCGCGAGGAGCCGCGGCTCCCACTCTGCACACAGCGCAGTTAGGCGTGTTCGCGCTGTGCGCTGTCCGCTGAGCGCTTGCCGGGCTTGACGCTTGTAGTGCGACTTTCAAAAATTTCCCCGGCCGGCTCTCTATTGCAAATTACCACTACGGCTTTACTACGTATTTACTAACAAGAAATAGTAAGCGTATTTAATCGCGGACCGGTGGCCACGAGGGGGGGGGGGGGGAGGCGGAGGGGGGCGTTCAGTTCTGGCTTCTGCGCAGGTGCGCCGTTGTCCAACGCCAGCGCAGAGGTCGCCGCCGAGGTGCGGGCGGGGCCGCAGCGCACATCAACGACGCAACCTCACATGCACGTCGGAGCAGGGAACGATGCGAGCCGCGCTAAGGACGCCCACCGGTGGCGCGCTACGCCCGTGGTATATGCTGGTTCATTTGCCCTTGGCCTTTTTCGCCTTCTTGGCCTTTGAGCTCGGCGCTGACGAACCCTTGTCCTCGATGAAAGATGCCAAAAAGGTCTTGGCGTCTTCTTCGAGCATCCCCTTGCGCACTCGACAGCTAGCTTCTCCTCCTCGGACAGATCGTCACCCTCTAGCTGTCGAGTGTCGATGCTGCTGTTTTGGTTCTCAACCTCCTCGTCAGGAAAGTTGAAAGTCAGGCCCATAGAGCTGAAGGCGAAAAACGTGCGCTTAATCGCGATGTTGTGCGTCAGAGCTGCTTTGCGCATTAGCGTGACGAACTCGACCAAACGCGTGGGCACGTACTCGAATGCAGCGCGTGAGCCGCTCTGGTCGACGCACTTGAAGCCAGCCTGCCTCGCAACGTCCGCGAGAAGCTCCCGTCCGACAGCGTTGATCGAATCCGTGTCCACGTAATCGACCTGCAAATTGAACGTGGCTGCGTCGCCATGCTCCATGCGCAAGAAGTTTTTCAGCTCGTCGGTCGCGGACACGCCGTAGGCCTCGGCAGTGTCGTAGATGTACTGCCAGAACTCAGACTCAGGAGCTTCAGGGAAGCTGCCCTGGAATACGCGGTACGCCTTCTTCCAGAGCTCCTCGCTGGCATCCGTCGACGCCCGCTTCTTGGGTCTTGGAGCCATGGAAGGTGGCGTGAAGGTGGCACGCCTTCAAACCGAGCGTGCGAGGTCCAACCGCGTCATTTATTTCTCCTGTTGTGTGAAGTGTCGCGCACTCATTCATGACCTATCTCAATGCCCCACCCCCCTGCTCGCGGGCCTTCTAGGCCCGCGGGTAGTCTCCCCCCATTCCCAGGGCCTCCAGGGCTCGCACCTCAACCTCTCACAAACCAGCGCACAGCGCCATAGGACGTATTCTCAATAACAAGGCTGTGAACGGCCCCGTCGTGACTAGCCCCGTACACGCCGCTTTCGTGGGGGCGCGGAAACACACCAATAACACGGCGGAGCTTGCGGAGCTTTTTCGCTCACTACTCCACACGGCACCACACGACCAGCAGGCTCACGAGGGGTGGTCCGAACAGACAGCGAGTACGCGATGGCGTGTGCGACGGGGAGAATTTCGCCGGGGGAGAACGCACAACTAGCGAGCTATCTTCGAGCAGCGTGGCGGCATTTAGCGTCGAGGCACGAAGTGACATGGAGACACGTCAAGGGGCACAGTGGTCATAAGTGGAACGACTACGTCGATAAGCAAGCTGACCTCGGCAGGAGCGGCGCGAGGGATTGCGGCGCGCAGGAGTGGCAAGACGAATCTATCCCATCTCCTTCCAACCTAGGCGGGGCGGGGGGGCGCGCGGGCGCGGAGTGCGGTGCGGTGTGGGTGTGAGTGTGTGCGTGTCGTGCGGCTACAGCAGACGTCCGTCGGTGACCGTGTGTATTATTATTAACAACGAAGGCGCTCTCAAATTGATTGATTGGTTGATGGGAAGGCGAAACACAGTCCGACCAACGACTGGGACACCAACGCGGTATGGGTGGACGCAGGACGGTCGATGACGGTCACACAGGAGCGACACACAGAACCACAAGACAAGACACTCAGCCAAACTGACTGCCACACATCCTGAGCGAACTTCCCTAGTCACCCGCGGCCGGACTCCATCCGGCACGCGTCGCTGGGCGCTCAGAGCCGCGTCCCCTGCTCGCCACCCCGACGCCCAAGGCGCCCGAATCGAACGACAGGCGGCACGCGCAGGAAGGAAGGAAGACTGGTTGGTTGGTTTTGCAATCAATCCCACCGACCGCCAGGCCGCGGGATGATGCGTGCGTGGTCTTGTAGTGGGTCTCGGAAGCTCCCCTCTCGGGCTAGGAGCCAGCCCCTCTCCCTTGCCCTCGGAACACTGTGTCCGAGTCGAGGCGTGTGCTTGCCGGTCGGTCGGTCGACGGCCGCGCGCGGTTGGCATTGTGACGAAGGGTGCGCGGCCGCGGAGTGCCCGCCATGGTTCGGCGCGGCGCGCCTACCTACCAGCGGCAATTGTCGAGGCACGGGAACACTTACCCTACCCCGGGTCATCCTAAGAGCCTAAAAATATCAATCCCTCGAGACCTCGAGAAGCCCGGTGAGCTTTGGAGGTCGTACCTCTACTCGCTTGCTTCTCCTCAATGCTCGCTGCGACGCTCTCCAGACCCGCCTCGAGAGCCACGCGAGGCCTGTGTGCGCGCGCCGCCTCGTCGCTCATCGCATCCATCGACCAGGGCACCTCCAGCTCGCGTGTCATCCTTTACGACGCCGTCACGCTCAGGCCGGTCGCGTCGCACCAAGTGGAGCTGCAGTCGGCAACGAGCAACCCGCAGGCGGGCTGGTCGCAGATGGACGCCAAAAGGATTGTGGGGACCGTCACCGACTCGGCTGCCGCGGCGCTCGCGGCCGCGGGCGCCAGCGCCTCTGACGTCGTCGGCGTCGGCATCACCAACCAGCGGGAGAGCACGGTAGTGTGGGACAAGCGGACGGGCGAGCCGCTGTACGACTGCATCCTGTGGTGAGCACGCCCCGGCCCCTAGGAAGGGGGTCGGCGCGAAGGGAGAGATGCGGCGCGGCGGCGGCCGACGTCTTTGCGGCGCCCGCAGGACGCAGCACAGCCACCAGACTCGTCTCTCCCCCTACTCTCGCGGCGCAGGCACGACGCGAGGACCGCGACGACGGTGTCCGCCCTGGCCGACGAGCTGGGCGGCCAGGACGCGCTGCGCGCCACCTGCGGCCTGCCTCTCTCGACTTACTTTTCGGGCGTTAAGCTGCGCTGGCTGCTGGAGACAGTGCCCGCCGTCAAGGAGCCTAGAAGCGGAATATCTCCCCCGTATCTCCCCGCACCTGGCAGCACGGAGCCTAGAAGCAGAAGACGTGCTTCTTGTGCCCCCAAACTAGCGGTCGAGAGGACACGCAATCAGCCGCATTCAGCCGCATTCGCTGCTCTCGTAGCCCCTCGTCCTCACGCGCTGCTCTGAAGGCACTGCACGGTACCCTCTTCCCCGCCCTGAGTTCTGGCGCCTTCCACTCGCGCAGGTCAAGGAGGGCTTCGAGTCTGGGACGGCGCTTGTTGGGACCGTCGACTCGTGGCTCGCGTGGAACCTTCTAGGAACCTTCTAGGAACCTTCTAGGCGCTCGTTGGGACCGTCGACTCGTGGCTCGCGTGGAATCTGACCGGCGGCGCGGGCGGCCGCGCCACAAGGCACGTCTCCGACGTGACCAACGCGTCGAGGTTATTTTATTAACCAAGGCCGTCATTAATAATTAATTGACCAATCAAGGCACGTCTCGGACGTGACCAACGCGTCGAGGACGATGCTGATGAACCTATCGACGTGCGGCTGGGACGGCGGCCTCGTGCGCGCGCTGGGCGTCGGCGCGGCGGAGGGCGCCCTCCCAACCATCGTCTCGTGCGCCGAGGAGATTGGGCGCGTCGACGGCGGGCCGCTGCATGGGGACGCCGCTCACGGGGAGGACTGGAGACCAGCAGGGCCCTCTTCACACCTCCAAGCTGTGAACAGGCGCCGCTCACGGGGAGGACTGGAGACCAGCAGGGCCCTCTTCACACCTCCAAGCTGTGAACAGGCGCCGCTCACGGGGAGGACTGGAGACCAGCAGGGCCCTCTTCACACCTCCAAGCTGTGAACAGGCGCCGCTCACGGGGAGGACTGGAGACCAGCAGGGCCCTCTTCACACCTCCAAGCTGTGAACAGGCGCCGCTCACGGGGAGGACTGGAGACCAGCAGGGCCCTCTTCACACCTCCAAGCTGTGAACAGGCGCCGCTCACGGGGAGGACTGGAGACCAGCAGGGCCCTCTTCACACCTCCAAGCTGTGAACAGGCGCCGCTCACGGGGAGGACTGGAGACCAGCAGGGCCCTCTTCACACCTCCAAGCTGTGAACAGGCGCCGCTCACGGGGAGGACTGGAGACCAGCAGGGCCCTCTTCACACCTCCAAGCTGTGAACAGGCGCCGCTCACGGGGAGGACTGGAGACCAGCAGGGCCCTCTTCACACCTCCAAGCTGTGAACAGGCGCCGCTCACGGGGAGGACTGGAGAGCAGCAGGGCCCTCTTCACACCTCCAAGCTGTGAACAGGCGCCGCTCACGGGGAGGACTGGAGACCAGCAGGGCCCTCTTCACACCTCCAAGCTGTGAACAGGCGCCGCTCACGGGGATGATTGGAGACCAGCAGGGCCCTCTTCACACCTCCAAGCTGTGAACAGGCGCCGCTCACGGGGAGGACTGGAGACCAGCAGGGCCCTCTTCACACCTCCAAGCTGTGAACAGGCGCCGCTCACGGGGAGGACTGGAGACCAGCAGGGCCCTCTTCACACCTCCAAGCTGTGAACAGGCGCCGCTCACGGGGAGGACTGGAGACCAGCAGGGCCCTCTTCACACCTCCAAGCTGTGAACAGGCGCCGCTCACGGGGAGGACTGGAGAGCAGCAGGGCCCTCTTCACACCTCCAAGCTGTGAACAGGCGCCGCTCACGGGGAGGACTGGAGACCAGCAGGGCCCTCTTCACACCTCCAAGCTGTGAACAGGCGCCGCTCACGGGGAGGACTGGAGACCAGCAGGGCCCTCTTCACACCTCCAAGCTGTGAACAGGCGCCGCTCACGGGGAGGACTGGAGACCAGCAGGGCCCTCTTCACACCTCCAAGCTGTGAACAGGCGCCGCTCACGGGGAGGACTGGAGACCAGCAGGGCCCTCTTCACACCTCCAAGCTGTGAACAGGCGCCGCTCACGGGGATGATTGGGGACCAGCAGGCCGCCATGGTCGGCCAGCGCTGCTTTGGTGTCGGCGAGGCCAAGATCACTTACGGCACCGGCGCCTTCATGCTCGGCCGACCTAGAAGCAGACCACGGATTCGTGCACCCCAACCAGCACTCAAGAGGACACGTACTCAACCGCATCCCGCACTGCTCCGCTGTGCTCACAGCCTTCGCACCCACTCGTGCTCACGCGGTGCTCTGAAGACTCCGCACAAGACCGACTCCACGCCCCCCCCATGTCGGCCTACTCTCGGCGCAGGCTCGTCAACAGCGGCGGCGCACCGGTGCCGTCGAGCCACGGGCTTCTCTCGACGGCGCTCTACCGCTAAATAATATTAAATATTAATTATTAATTAGGTGCCGTCGAGCCACGGGCTTCTCTCGACGGCGCTCTACCGCTAGTTAATTATTAATTATTAATTATTGATTAGGTGCCGTCGAGCCATGGGCTTCTCTCGACGGCGCTCTACCGATTCGGCGCGAGTGCGCCCACGCAGTGCGCGCTTCGAGGGGGGGCGGCCTCGCCGTCGAGGAGCCTCCCCAGGAGCCTTCCAGGAACCGCCTCTCTAGGTACGCGCTCGAGGGTGCGGTGGCTTCGTGCGCGGTCGGGATCAACTGGTTCAAGGACTCGCTTGGCATGATCGGCACCGCGCCGGAGATCTCGTCGCTGGCCGCGCAGGCGCCGTCCCCTCATCTCTCCCCAGATCTCCCAGTATCTCGGCGCTGGAGATCGATCTCATCGCTTGGCCGCGCACACTGCCCGCCGGCGCGGTGCTCGCACCGGGCAGTGCCTCCACGGCTGTGGTGGTGCCTTATGGCGGGTTCGGCGTGAGCGCTAACGCGGAGCCTGATGAATCCCCTGAGCATGTCTGAATCGTCGTGAGTGCGTTAGCGGCGCGCCACCGCCCTTCTTTGCCGCGCAGGTGCCGGAGGGGACGGAGGGGCTCGTGTTTGTGCCCGCCTTTGGCGGGCTGCTCGCACCGCACTGGCGCGACGACGCGCGCGCGACGCTGGTCGGGCTGACCCTCGCGCACGACAAGCGGCACGCCGCGCGGGCGGTGCTCTTAATGACCTCTGAATGAACTCTTAATTCGCTGTAATGAACTCTTAATTAGGCGCGTCGCGCGGGCGGTGCTCTTAATGAACTCTGAATGAACTCTTAATTCGCTCGAATGAACTCCTTAATTAGGCACGTCGCGCGGGCGGTGCTCGAGGGCATCGCCCACCAGGCCAAGGAGGTCACTGTCTGCATGGCCGCCGACACCGGAGCGGCGCTCACCGGCCTGCGCGTCGACGGCGGCGTCGCGCTCTCCGACGAGCTGCTGCAGTACCAGGCGGACTTGTGCGGCATCGCTGTCCAGCGGCCGCGCGACGTGGAGACGACCGCGCTTGGCGCTGCCATCGCTGCCGGCTTGGGCGCCGGGGTCTGGAGCTCGATCGCCGACATCCCGTCGAGCGGCGACGACATCGAGCGCACCTTTGAGCCCGCCATTTGCGAGGAGGAGCGGACGGCGCGCTGCGCGAGCTGGCAAAAGGCGGTGGAGTCGTCGTTTGGGTGGGCGCGGGAGTAAAAGGCGGTGGAGCCGTCGTTTGGGTGGGCGCGGGAGTGAAGAAGGGCAGCGCGCGGACCGAGCCATGTAGCATGTACTCCGGGCGCGTGGGCCGAGGCGCGGCCCCATCGTCGCGGTTGAAGCATCTGTAGTTTTGATTGCTCGGACACGCCGGCATGGCATATGTCTCCTCGGCGCTGCGGCGTGCGGGGCATACTTTGTAGGTAAGGTAAGGTAAGGTAAATTTCTCCACACACACAAAGTGGTGGGGCAAGGGGGGGCGACCCTCGCATCTCCACTAGGGGGTGCACAGCGCCCCAAAATCCACCACTGTGGGATTTCGCGCAATCGCTTGACTCGGAAAAGCTCGCATGTACCTCCTGCGAGCGCTGTGATCGCCGCAGACTGGCTCCGACTTGACGGCGGCATGGAGACGTGATGCCTCCATGCCGCCGTCAAGTCGAAATCGACATGCGAGTCGATCTTTGGCCCGCCAGAGGTACATGCGGCGTTTGGCGACAAAACAGCACTGCGACCGCGAAGTGGCGGTGGACATGCTCCCATGTTGCCGACGCGGCGCCGGAGTGGCCGGCGCTGCTCGCCGCGACCACGACGGCTACTCTGATGCTCCGGGCCGACCCGTCCTACCCGACGGTGGCACTCTTCCACGTCTCGCTCACGCTGAGAAAAATCTGAAACGGCGTGCTGCAGAGTCGCCGACGAGTCGGTCCGCGTGACTCCTCGTGTCCCGTACCGTTCTCACACATCCATAAACTCACTTTGGCCCCACTGAAGCGATGCCTGAATCCTGAATCCTCAGATTTTAGATTGGGACGCTGTGCACCCTCTATCTCCACACCCGGACACGGGCAGGAGCCCCACGGCATTCAAAGTGCAAGCACTGGCCCGGTGCACGTGGATGAGCCTTTACACAGGCTAGATACAGCATATACGCGCGGCTGGTCGTCTTTTTGTTTTTGGATATACACCAGCCACGTATCCACGCGTGGTCCGCGCGCATGGCATACAGGCGTTCGCCAGACACGAGACAGCGCAGAGCCAGAGGCTCTAAAGCCGTACGGAAACTACTTTACGCGCGGTAGCCGGTACGCGCTAGACGGCTTTAGGCGACCGGGGAAGGACTAGCTCAAGGGCAACACAGCGTCACCAGCCGTTGGCGCGCAGATTGAGTCTGCGGCCCTCGGTTGGGACGAGTGCGCGACGCGGACGAGCCGCTCAATATGTCGGCAGCTCGCGCTGCCGGCGGGGTTGAGTGGGGAGAACCGGCACGGGAGCCTTGAGACTGGCCAGATTCTCGAAGATATTGGACTTTCAGCCACGGTTTCACAACTTTGGGGGCAAAATCGGCTCTCTCTCTGGCGGCTATTCCTAGCCCACAAACTGCTGGGGGGTGCCTACCACATGCTAGGGGGGGGGGCGATGTGCGCCTGCTCTGATGTGTATCGAGAGAGAGACCATAGCAGATGCGAGAGCGGCGTCGTCCGGGGAGAGGGGTGGTGGGGGAGGGTCAACATCGAGGGGGGGGCGCGGAAAAGAGGAACCTCTTTGTTAGCGCGCCATCGCCATGGGCTGCAAGCAGCGTCGGGCGACGACGACTTACCGGTTACCGCCTCCTTTCACGGGTTCGAGTCGTCAGACATTAAGCAGCGGAGGTGTGCCGAGGGGGACCGGGTCCCCGTGTGCGGGGTAACCCGCACACGGGTCAGCCTGCCAGCCACGTATCCACGCAAGCGTGGTCCGATCGGTCACACCAGGCGCCTCCTCCTTCAACAAGGACATCAGCTCGTGGGACGTGTCGGCTGTCCTCTACATGGGCGGCATGTTCAACGGCGCCTCCTCCCTCAGCGACTGCAACAAGGCGCTCATCCACGCCAGCTTCGCCGCACAGACGAGCGCGTGGCCCTACTCGTGGGGCTCGCAAGGGTGCCCAACCGGGGGCTGCGGCGATGGCACTGCCCTCGACGCAGTGACGAGGAAGTGCGAGGTCTCGCTCGGCAACGGTACCGAGGTGCTCGACGGCAAGGTCGAGGTCGTGCTCGGCAGCGCCACCGAGGTGATCGACGGCAAGTGCGAGCTCATCGGGCTGGGTGACTTTGACGGCGACGGCGCCTTCCGTCTTGCCGACGCGGGGTTTGTCGCCGCGGTTTGGAAGCGCACTGAGCAGTGGCCGGTTGCGGGAGGGCGCCGCGATCGGCGCTCGCTCGAGCGCAAGGACGCGGAGCTCGAGCGCAAGGACGCGGAGCTAGAGCGCAAGGACGCGGAGCTAGAGCGCAAGGACGCGGAGCTAGAGCGCAAGGACGCGGAGCTGACGGAGCTTCGCGCAAAGCTAGAGGCCAAGAAGTTCAAGGAGTGAAATCCTCGAGTCGGACTACGAGAATTAACGGTGTCGGTGGGTGTCGCCCGGTGGGTCGGCGCGGGCTCGGGTGTGTTTCGCTCACGCGACGCGTCGGCTCGAGGGGCTTGGCGCGGGCTCGGATGCGTTTCTTCGCACCCCGAGCGCGACGGTACTTAGTACATCGCGGATGGGAGGGAGGGGTAGGGCTCAAGGGGGACTCGGGTGCGTTTCGCTCTGCGAGCGCGATAGTACTCGGATGGGAAGGGGGTCGGGCTCATAGACCTCAGTCTCATGGATCACCTTTTATTTCCCCGTCTATACACACTGCGTATCTTAGTTAGAGGGTGCGGTGCGCGTCCTAATCTAAAATCAGCATGAGCGAGACGTAAAATCAGCATGCCGTCGGACCCCTCCGGGGTGGGGCGCATGGGGGCGTTCGTCGCTTGCGGCAACACGCTGCCACGCGCCCGCGAGACGGTTCTGGGCGTGGAGGGCGGGGACAGGGGTGGGAGGGTGGGACGGTGGATCCGCGGACGGGGACCGGGACGGTCGAGGCCGTCAAGGGCCATGGCTCAAAAAAGTAAACAGCCGCCTGAAGGGGCAGCCGACCGTGGCGGAGACGTGTTCATGTCTTCATGACCCCCAGGAGAAGGGCCCGACCCGAGGGACGAACGAGGGCCACGACGGCGGCTCAAGCGGGAGGGAGCGGAGACAGTGGGCAGCGAGCGAAGTGGGTGAGACTGATGATGCTCCTTCGACTTAGGGAGCGGTTCAGCTGCTGGGCGGGCTTCAGGGTGGTGCTCACGCGAAAAGGAATCGACGCGATGTACAAAGCGTACAACAAGAGGAGAAAGAAGGTAAGGTAAGGTAAGGTAAATTTCTCCACACACACAAAGTGGTGGGGCAAGGGGGGGCGACCCTCGCATCTCCACACCCGGACACGGGCAGGAGCCCCACGGCATTCAAAGTGCAAGCACTGGCCCGGTGCACGTGGGTGAGCAGCCTGCCCCTCCCTCCCGACAAACCAACTCCCGCACACACACAATCGCACTCTGGCCATCGAATGACTCCGAATGACTCACTGTGTGTGCTAAGACAGAATCTCCGCAGACATCCAAAACGGGCCGTGCCGCGTTTGTGATGTCCTCTCAAGCACTAGCATCTGGGCGCCGCACTCGAGTGGGCGGGTCACATCTATGTGGGCCCAGTGCGCACTAGGCGCATATGCTAGTGCTATCCTGCCCTATGGAGAAAGAAGAGGACGGACATCAGTGATGACGAAACAGAAGCTAGCGCAGAAGAGAGCAGGGCAGACCCGGGGACTGGGGAGCCGGAGCGGACGGCATCGGCCGCCGAGGGAACGTTGGGAAGAGGCACGAGGAGGGCGGCGACCTCAACCGACTATGGAGGACCCGTCACCAGACGACGCAGAGCAGACGACGGTGAGGCGGAGCAGACGCGCAGGGCGAGACGAGGGAGGGAGCAGGATGTTGCGGAGATCAGCAGGAGGATGTACGACGAGATTAGGAGCAGCAGGGACCCGAGGGACCATGTGGAAGACGGCTAGTGCTAGTCCCCCATCGGGAGGACGACCCCGGCTAGCCGCCGACCACACCCACAAAGAACCCAGCACAAAGATCGCACGGGCGGGGACCTGTTCCTTTTTACCCATCTCCTAGTAGAGGTGTCCGTTTTATTTATTAATTATTTAAACAGCCGCGCCAGGCGGATTTTCAATCAACATTAGAGTGAGTGTGTGTGCGTGTCGTGTGGCTACAGCAAGTGTCCATCCGTCAGTATTATTATTATGTATGTAGGAAGGTGAAGAACAGTCAGGCTCGGACTGGACAAAAAAAAATAAAGCGGAAAAAAACGGCACTTTTTCGGTGCTGGTAGCCCCCCCAAAACAGGCGCGCGCAGCGCGCCCAGGGGCGCCGCAGGCGCCCCAAGCGGCGCGGAGCGCCGCCGCAGGCGGCGGACAGCAGGTGCGCGAAATTAAACGCCATTTTCGGCTCCGCGGTTTTGCCACTAACATTGAAATCCGGTACAAAACGACTTAGCCGAAACAACAGACAGACAGACAGAGAGCACACACGTTCGAGACGGGGGTGCGCCGACCACCGTCGCGGACCCAGTAGAGCTAGATGGTCCCACATGATGCGCCCTTAGCCTCTGAGCTCGTCCTAGACGTTTTAGGGAAGCGTGGGCAGACCAGAACGCGGCCACGGCGACGCTCCGAGGCTATCAGCAGCGCTGGCGGCGATCGTGGCGACGGCGCCTCGCCGCTGCAGCGGCACAGAATCGAGGAAGTGGCGTTGGTGGCAGCATCAATGAGATATGAAGGCGGCCGTAATGCTGGTGGCGCCTTCGAGGGCGGCGGGGAGGGCGGTAGCAGCGACGGCGGTCGAGTCATGTGGCAGGGGTGGCAAGATGCAGCAGGGAGGCTTGAGTTAGCGACGCGGGGCGGTGGCGTGCCAGCAGGTAAGCGGCGGCGGCGGAGAGCAGGTGCGCGAAATAAAGGCCAATCTTGAGATATCCATTTTGCACCACCTTTGGATTTCTGGTACAAATTGACTTGTGGATCTTGAAGGCACGCGCAAGAGCGCACCAGGCAAGTTGACTCAACCTCGGATCTCGCTGCCGCTAAGCGTGGCGTCGATTATCAAACGAGCGGTGACAGTAGCGGTGGCAGCGGCGGCAGCGTCGACAGGAGCACCTACTGCAGTGTCAAATGTGAGCTGGGAGGCGGGAGGCAGATGCAATAGGAGCGGGAGAGTGAGATCGTCAGCCAGCAAGGCAGACCTTTACGGCGCGGCTGCGGGCGCGTTTGCAGTGACATGCGATCCATGTGGCAGCAAAGGCACGGCGGGAGTAGCGCGTATGCAGGCTGGTGAGCGAGGGTGGCGCGTCGCGAGTGGCGGTGCAGCCAGTCGGTGGCGGGTGCTGGCGACCGGCAGAGAGATGCAGACGGCGCGAGAGATGACCCTGCGGAGAGGCGAGGTGACGGGCGATCCGCGACGGTGGGAGAGGGCTGAGCATCGCCATGTCTCGCTCCGGCACCATCTTGCCGAAGCGCAGGCCCGGGAAGGCGGTGTTTTTGATGTAGCGGAGCCGCGCCGTGTCGTGCTTGTTGTACCGCCCTTGGCGGCCGGCGTAGCGCTGGTGCACACCGTGCAAGATCGACTGCAGCTCGAGCTGGTGGCTGACGATGTCCTCGCCGCTCTGCAGCGCCGGCGACAGGCACATGGCGCCAGCAGAGGAGATCTGCGAACAGGGCGAGTCGACGCTGGCAGGTCAAGCAGCGTCGACTCGCTACCAGCAACGAATGGGTACCCAAAAAAACGACGAGGATGGTCGTGATGAGTGTTGGCTTGCTGGCCATCGCCGTCGTCCCGCCGACGCTCCGCGGTGCGCCGGCGCGCGCCTCCGTCCGCATGGCCAACAAGCAGCAGCAGCAGCAGCCCACGCCCCGCGAGCGGCTGCTCGAGGAGCTCGCCGAGTACGAGGCGACCAACCAGCGGCGCTCCTTCCTCACCGGCCTGGCAGCCTCGGCCGCCACCTTTGGCGCGGGCGGCTTCTTCCTCAACACGATTAAGGCCAAGGGCGTGCACGCGCCTCTCGCCGCGGGGCGCGGGCGGGTCGCCTCGCCGTCCTCTGCGGCCGGCTCCAAGCAGCAGGCGGCCACCCCGCTGGCCGCGGCGGGCGGAGCGGAGGTCGTCGCCAAGGAGCGGGAGCCGGAGACGCTGGCCGCGCCGCCGATCGGGCGGAGCGGCAAGGCCGCCGACACGCCCACCCCCCACGCCGGCGCCAAGGACTTCAGGGCGCTCGCGGCGGGCGGCGCCGCCGCCCTCGCCGCCGCCGCCTCCTTCGCGGGCTCTCAGCTTGCAGGGCTGGGCAGGGAGAAGGGGGCGGAGGAGGGGCGGGAGGGGGCCGAGTCGCTCTCCGCCACGGTCGAGGCCACCGGCACCCCGTCGCCAGCCCCGCTGCCCGCGGCGCCCGCGCCCGAGCACGTGCCGGCGCCGGCCTCCGCCGCCGCAGACAACGCCGCGGCGTGGGGCGGCGATTCGGAGGCGGAGGCGGCGGGGGCGGAGCGTGCGCTCAAGGCGGCCTTGCTTCGTGCGGAGGGCGCGGCGGCCGTGTCTGCGCGCAGCGCGCGACGCGAGGCCGACGTCGCTCTGGCTCGGGCGGCGGCGGCCCGACGCAACCTCAAGGCGCGCGCGCGCACACACACACACACACACACACACACACACACACACACACATACACACACACACAGACAGACAGACAGACAGACAGACAGACAGACAGACACACACACACACACACACCGCTCACCCACGCGCACTGGGCCTTGCGCTTTGAATGCCGTGGGGCTCCTGCCGTCTAGACGTGGAGTCGCGAGGGACTAGCCTGGCCCTCGCCCCACCACCTCGTGTGTGTGGAGAAGTCTACCTTACCTTACCCTACCCTACCTTAAGGCTTCGTCGCTCCGGCAAGACGGTGCGGCGGCGGTGGCGGCGCGGGAGGAGGCGCGGGCCGGCGCGGCGCGCGCGCTCAAGGCGTCCTCCCTCCGGCGGGAGGGGGCGGCGGCGGTGGCGGCGCGAGAGGAGGCGCGTGAGGCGCTTCATGAGGTGGAGGCGAGCAGAGCGGCGGCGGAGGAGGCGCGGGCTGCGGCTGAGAAGAAGGCGGCGGAGGAGGCGCGGGTTGCGGCTGAGAAGAAGGCGGCGGAGGAGGCGCGGGCTGCGGCTGAGAAGAAGGCGGAGGAGGAGGCTCGGGCTGCGGCTGAGAAGAAGGCGGCGGAGGAGGCGCGGGCGGCGGCTGAGAAGAAGGCGGAGGAGGAGGCTCGGGCTGCGGCTGAGAAGAAGGCGGAGGAGGAGGCGCGGGCTGCGGCTGAGAAGAAGGCGGCGGAGGAGGCGCGGGCTGCGGCTGAGAAGAAGGCGGCGGAGGAGGCGCGGGCTGCGGCGAGGCGTTGAGAATGGAGGAGGGGAGGGGTTAGTTTGGGGGCGTGTTTGCCGACGGGCATCATCTCCCCGAGAGATGGCCGATCTCGCTTCTCTCTCTCTCTCTCTCTCTCTCTCTCTCTCTCTCTCTCTCTCTCTCTCTCTCTCTCTCTCTCTCTCTCTCTCTCTCTCTCCCTCTCCCTCTCCCTCTCCCTC